CCCGGTTAGGTTCAACGTTAGGATCCCTGATACAAGCATATCGCCATTACAAATTCCGGAAAGTCTTATTTATTTTTAAAAAATTCAAAACCAATTCCTGAACGTGGATTCTATGTACACGCCTCACCGCATGGTCTATCTAAAATTTTCGTTCCGAACGCGTAGATCGCCGGTCGATCGCGCGTTGCATAGGTGGTTTCAAATTTTAATATCGCGTCTCTGGTTGAGTTTTATTTGGAACGGAACAGTGGCATGCAAACGTTTTTCGAGACTTTCCGGGCGGTAACCGTTTACGTGTTCGCTGCTCGAGGGAAGAGAGACGGGGTCGGGGGTATCCTACAAGCTGTTTTACTCGAAAACTTTCTTCCCGGGGATAAAATGGCGAACGTAAAAACCGGCTAGTTTACAGAGGCCGAGTCCCGAACGCTTTTCATATTTCCCCTTTAATATCTCTCGCCGTTCCGCGTCATTGTTCCCTTCCGTCCTCGCGGCTCGCCTTCGATCGAGCCGTCCTTCTCTCTCGGTCTGCTCATCGGAAATCATTCCCACACCGCCAATTGTCAATCGCCGGTAGCCCGGATTGGCTTCGATCCAATACAACTAAGTTCCCTCCCCCTCCTCCCCGGATTCTGCGCGGGCACGATCCTGTTATCCGGATTGTCCGGAAATCCGTCAGATCGAGACAATCGATGGAACCTATGGACCTGACTGCCGGAGACGCGAGAACGGTCCAAATGGGGCGTGATTCGTGACCCGGGAACGGCGGAGATTAATTTACCCGGAAAATTCGAGGATTAAAATATATAGTCGACGAGCGTATTGAATTTGTACATTCGCTTGTTTTGTCGCTGATTAAACGTCGATCGATAGGCGCGGATGTTTACGCCCGGACGCGCCCCCGGGATTCCCGCTTTCTAATAATTCCGCTTTACAGAACTCTGACCGAGAAACGACGCCACCGACTTGTTATTGCTTCCATGGAAATGAAAAGATTCTTTCGCCGAGCAAAAGTTCTCAAAGAGAACTTGAAACGATCAGACGCGCTCGTAAAGCGAGGAAACCGATGCGGTCCGTTAAACGTTCCGACCAGCTGAAAGATTTCTTTCTCTCGCATCGCGGCCGGGTCGAAGTATAACGAGGATTTTTCATTTTATACCGCCGTCGAAAGAAAAGTACTGCTTTTACCGATCCAATGAACAGCAAGACGTATTAGCAGGAAATAACCCACCAATTATTTTATTTACGCGGTTCTTTTTCATCCCCCGACAGAATCAACGCGGAGAGAAAAGGAATTTCACCGCGAACGCAACGTTTCTCGATTCCACTGTTCCCCGGGCTAACGAGTACACGTGCCCGTGCTACATTATTATTATCTTCCGTCCTTTATTTTCGCTTTTTCGCGAACCGTGGAATTTTTCCGCCTGATTTAACCCGCTTTAACCATCGATGCATCTTGCTTCCCGAATGTTTCGCAAACGAAGCTCCTCGAAGGCTCGTTATATCGAAACGTCGAATAGGAATGAGAAATTGATGAAATTATTTATGGCTAGGGATATTAGGTGCACGCAACGAGCTGCCCTAAAGGATCGTTGCGTGCAGCAAATTTGCATCGACGTTTGCAACATAAATCGTCGGGGCAACGGCTGGTCGCGTGGACGAAGCCTTTCAGGAAGTACGGGTTTCCTCGGGAATTCACCGGGAAATGTTCGGCGAGAATACCTGGTGGTCGATGAGGAGGATAACTCGTCCCCGAAGTGCGGTAACCTCGGCAGAAGAGTCCTGGGGCCCACTCTTGTATCGCTAGAATGTCTTATGAACCGTGCAAAATGGATGCAGGTTGCATCCTTTTCATCCCCTCTATCGAGCAAACCGGTAAATCGAGCGTGTCCGTGAAACGAAACGCGGAATTTCATTCGAATCCTTCGTCGTTCCGGTCTCGCCCTCTTTCTTATTTATTCTTTATCTTTGCCGGAAACGGGGAGCAACGGCTCGATAAAAATATTTACATAGAAATTGCGCCACCGAAACGGGGACAACAATTTTCTTCGCGCGACGGTCGTTTCTCTCCCGAAAGAAACTATCGAACTCGACGGAAATTCGTTGCGGCGAGATGGCTTTGCCGACGCTGCAACCGAAGGCGGCAGCCACGGGGCAAATTAAACCGTATTTTCGACACGGCGAAGACGCCGCGCCAAAAAAACGAAATGGAACCGTGACGGAACGCAACGATGTATTTTCCGACGGCTGAGAGACGAGCGCGGTAGTTTCGCCCGTTTCGAATGCGGAAAACATCCCCTCGATGAGACGATGCGGTTACGTCGGTTTCCTACTTCTGCCTCCCTTTTCGCATCTCTCTTCCATCTCCCCCCACCCCCCTTTAACTGTACTTGCGTATCCCGAACAGGTTACAAACGACGGGCACGGTATTACAAGCCGCAAATTACACCCCCCTCAACCCCTCCGTCGTGGCCTCGCTGCCACGTGAATGTGCGAGCCCAAGACTGCCGGATTACACCCCTGACTGCGAGACCTTCCGCCGGAATACCTCTCTCTGCCCTCCGCGAAAACGGAACGATCCGGGTTTCCGAGATAAATTTGGGGCGAAGAATATTAACTGTCGTTAGACAGACAATTATTGAGACCCCGTGACGCGCGAAAATACCTCCCGTTCCGCCGCTTATGCCTCTTTTGCTCTTATTTATTACCGACTCCATTACGCTCCGGTAAACGATCCACCGATCGAAGTCGCTGTAAAGACATCGAATCATTTTATTTGTATATAAATCTCGATGGAACGTATCCCAATATTTTCGTTTCCATTCCGATGCCGACTAGCCGTGCAAATCTAAAGTTTCTTAACTTTTGTTCGCAAGTCTATATAAATGCGTAATCCCTCGTGTAAAACGATGTCGCGGGCTCGAGCCTTCCGTTCATAAATTACAATATTCGCGGGGCCATCCCCTCTCGTTCACCTGCTGCGCGTGCCCCCACCCTCCAGCCTCCCCCGAAAGTTGCAGGAAATTCGCTGCAGAATTAACGCCGTGGATTTCGTAAACGATGAATTACCACGCGCTGCGGCTCTCCTTTAATCGCGAGGATAACGACGGCGTCTGGTATTTCTAAGTTGGCGCCGATAACGAGAATAGATCGAGCGCCGATCGATAAACGATGAATCGTTTCTGTCGTTAATTAGACCCCCGGCAAACGCGTTTTACGTGATCCATACTCCCAACGTTGGGAAAAGAACGATCGCGCGGGAATCAATTTTTGCCGAATGTTTCCTTCTTCGCCTACGGATAACGTCTGTTTATCTTCCAATTAACCGTTATTCGCGTAACGACGATAGCGTGTGTTTTATACGGAAGATTAACTCTGTACGCATTGAAAAAAGATAAAGCGACAACTTCCGTTCTGAGCAGTTTAAAAGGTCCGCGACGATTTGTAGTATTGGAAAACGCTATAGGGATTCGATGGTTGTTTTGTTGCACGACTCGTGGAAAAAGCTCTTTTACTTAATCCGCACCGTTTTATATCGAAAAGATTTTGTACAACTTCCCAATAAGTTCAATTAGCAGGAGGGAAGACGTCGGTTCAGAAATTACCTTTTCGAAGGAGTCAGAACGTTTTCGGCGTAATCTGGCGTCACGGCTTTATTTTCCGGAATTACGTGGCCGCTGGCGTAAACGCGTATCTAGAATCCTCGTTTCATCCCGTGGCGATCCTTTTCTCTTTTTCAGCTGTAATAACGCGGCGCAAAGAGCTGTGCGGTATTACGTCTCCCCGTTAATTAATTTACACCGGGGCAACACTGGATTACGAAGCCCCCGAACGATTCTATTTCTTCTCGAACGGGGTGTATTGAAAAGCCATAAAAAAGTGATGTCTACATTTGCCACCCTAGCACGTCGGAACACGTTGACTCGTACAGGGGGAAAAGTGGTCAGGGAAACGGACGAACGACCACGCGGAGCATCGGTTTATTTGTAAACAATTCGTAATTCGCGCCTGAGAATACTTTCATAGATAGGAATAGAGAAAGTCCTCTGACCTTTGAAATTTATCATGCCCAAGATACTCGCTTTTAAAAGCCACCTTCAGATTTGCACGGAGAGACGAAAAATAGAACGGTGGGATTGTCATACGGTACGATGGAGATAACCTCTCGGTAGCCTTCAACGAGCAGCTGATTTTTATCGGTGTGCAACAACCAACCAACTTGCTTCACACTTGTCACACGTATACGTTCTCGTCGCTTATCAAACAAACGCCCAATAACCTATATTCACTTTGTTTGCAATCGATCCGCAAATACGGCTACTCTATCCTCTGTCATAGTGTTCCAAACATTGTCCGTTCGCGCCTAATATACCAATTCCGACGAGTTCCGATTGCTGTAAAATTGGGAATAAAATATTGCCCGGAAGCAAATTGCTCGGCAAGTTCGAGCATTCCCGCGGATACGCTTCGTTACTTATACACCGCATGCAACGCCCGGTGTATCGCGAAACGGCGTAGTAAGAGTTCTCAAGGAAACAAAACAGTTTTCCGATAGTTCCTCCAGTGTGAAAACGAACAGAGTTAGTGGAGCCTAAGCCATTAGTTTGGTAGCAGCTCCGGTATGTATCAGCGTGGAAGGAGGATAAATTACGAATCCGAGTTCAGTGCTTATCGAAGATTTCATAAAGTTTACTGTTTCGAGGGGCCGTTGCATTAAACGGAATATACTTGCAACGGAGTATGCAATTTTGCTTAATGCGAGCCACGGTATCGAGATAAGGGAGTCGCCGAATCACAGAAATGTTAATTCAGTATATTACGTACTTATCCGATGAACTTCAATGCTATATTATTAGAACTGTTGTCGGTAAACAACATGTCAAACCGCGAGATGATAAGTAATTGCGAGGTATTATTTATTGCGCAAGAGAACACACTCGCAGAATGATAATTTGATTTACTGAACATTGATATCCTTATCGCTTCTTCGATGTTTACTATAAGTAGTTTATAACGCGGTGCAAATTAAAACGCGACAGTTTCTAAGAACTTCTTCAAAGGAAGTAAGAATGGCTTCCGTGTGTTTGACGCTCTTTGTAGGCGCACTCGCGCTGTTTGTTCTCTATTTGATAAACAAATACACTTATTGGAAGAGACAAGGAATTCCAACTGCCAAAGGGTTAATACCATTACTGGGTCATTATTTACCGCTGGTGACTATCAAGTCAAGCGCCTCGGAGCTCAATCGTAAGATATACGAAAACGCCAAAAACTGTAGCATGATTGGATTGTACAAGATAACGTCTCCGGTACTCCTGATTCGCGATCCGCAGTTAGTGAAAACAGTCTTGCAGAGCAACTTCTCGAGCTTCCACGAGAACGGATGGAAAATTCAACCGGACATAGACCCTTTGCTAGCGAAGAACCCGTTTTTCTGTTACGGTGACGCCTGGTCGACGGGACGAAAACGGTTAACCTACGCTTTTTCGAGCATGAGATTGAAAATCCTCTACGAGGCTGTTAGCGGTGTGTGCAAGAAACTCGAGAGGTATCTCGAGAGGCGAGTGGAGTCGAACAACAAGTACGAAGTCGAGCTGAAGTCTTTGTTTTCAAGATTCACGGGCGAAGTTGTAGCGAACGCTGGTTTAGGCGTAGAAGGTTTTTGTTTTGAGGATGAGCCGCACTCTGGGTCCTTCGACGAGATTGGCAAATCCCTCTTCAATCCGAGCTTAAAGAACGGAATCGCAAATGCTATTATATTCTTCGTAAACACGATCAACGACGTGTTGAAGGTTGGCTTTGTACCGAAAGAAGTGGACGGGTTCTTCAGGCACGTCATCTCTGAAAACCTGCAGGCAAGAAGAAACGAAACGACACCCAGGAACGATTTCCTCCAAGTGATGATCGATCTCGAGAAGACAGAAGGGAAAAAATTGGACGAAGATACGCTCGCGGCTCACGCGTTTTCTTTCTTCTTCGACGGCTACGAAACGTCCAGTATCACGCTCAGTTTCATCGGGTATCAATTGGCGGTTTATCCGGACGTTCAAGAGAAATTGAGGGAGGAAATCAGGTCCACCATCGCCAAGTACGACGGTAAATTGACGTACGATAGTTTGAAGGAGATGAAGTACATGGATCAAGTGATGAACGAATCGCAGAGATGTTATCCTGCTTTGGGCATCATGAAGAAAATCTGCAAGGAGGAATTCGAGCTCAAAGGATCGGATGGACTGTGCTGTCGAGTGAAACCTGGAACAGAAGTTGTTATACCTAGCCACGCGTTGCATTTGGATCCCAAGTACTGGATCGATCCGGAACATTTCGATCCGGATCGATTTAGCGAAGATAGGAAGCAAAGCATCGAGAAAATGGCCTTTTTACCTTTCGGAGAAGGTCCCAGGATGTGTGTTGGTATGAGAATGGCAGTTTTGCAGATGAAGGCTTGCTTGGCAACTTTGCTGCGTAGCTACAAACTCGAGCTGTCGTCGAAAACGCAGCTCCCCTTAAAATTAACGCCGGTTCATTTCCTGTCCGCGCCAGTCGGTGGTTTATGGGCCCACGTTTCGAGAGTCTGAGAATTTTTATTAATATTAGTTTTACGATGCGCGTGACAGTAATATTTTTTAATAAAATTTGTACTCCGATACTCCGCTAGATGATACTAACGTATCTTCGGTAGAAGGTCACCTCGTCGAGACGATTATTCTACCGAATGAATTATAATTTCAACAGATTACATAATACCGTTTGACGAAATAATAACAGTCACCTAGATGGAGGCGTCAATGTAGAATCGCATGCGTAGAAACACATGTTATGGCTGGTTATCTCAATTGTTATTTATGGATGAGAGTGAATCAAGGCTAAAAATGATCGTTGAGAATTGACGTGCATGTATAATCATTTTCTAAGACTGCGCGATGCAATGTTTGGAACTTTTTGTATTTCGTTCACGATACTGATCATTGGTAATATAGCTCGAATAACTGGTTTAGGCGCTCAGTAGTCATCGAGACCAGCGTTCAGCTACATCGTAGCGACAACGCCTGCAGTCTGTTCAGTAAAGAACGGACAGAATGGATTGCACGAGTTTTACTCTCGTCGCGGGGGCGTTAAGTTTGCTGATTTTCTACCTGATAAATAAATACAGTTATTGGAAGAAGCATGGAATTCCGGTCGCGAAAGGATTCATACCGTTACTGGGTCATTTGTTGCCGGTAATAACGCTCAAGTGTAGTATGTCGGAGTGGATTCGCAAGATGTACAATGACTCTAAAAATTGCAGCATGGTTGGATTCTACAAACTAACAAAACCGGTGCTAATGGTTCGTGAGCCGCAATTAACCAAAACTATTCTGCAGACCAATTTCGGGAGCTTCCATCAGAACGGGTGGGCGATCGACCCCGAGTTGGATCCTCTGCTAAGCAAGAACCCGTTTTTCTGTTATGGTGACATGTGGTCGTTTGGAAGAAAACGTATAACGTACGCGTTCTCCAGCATGAGATTGAAAGTCCTTTTCGAGGCTCTGAAAGGAGTGTGCAAGAAATTTGAAAATTTCTTGGAAAAACGTCTGAAAACGAGCAACAAATACGAAGTTGAATTGAAGAGTTTATTTTCGAGATTCACCGGAGAAGTTGTCGCGAACTTCGGTCTGGGCATCGAGGGTTATTGTTTCGAGGACAAAACGCGTCCAGGATCCATGTATGAGATGGAACAACAGGTATTCAAACCGAGCATGATGACCGGGATTATGAATTCTATTACATTCTTCGCGCCCTCCATAAACAAAATATTAAAGGTTCCATTTGTATCGAAGAAAGTGGATACATTCATAAGGCAGGTCATCGCGGAAAACGTGGTTATGAGACAAAAGTCTACGACGCCAATGAACGATTTTCTTCAACTGATGATCGATCTCGACAAGGCAGAAAATAGGAAGCTGAACGAAGATGCGCTCGCGTCTCACGCGTGTTCTTTCTTCGTCGATGGATACGAAACGTCCAGCATAACCATCTGCTTCGTTGGGTACCAGTTGGCGGTTCATCAGGACGTTCAAGAAAAATTGAGGGAAGAAGTTAGGTCCAGCGTTGCCAGACATAACGATGCGTTGACTTTCGATGGCGTGAAAGAAATGACGTACATGGACCAAGTCATCAGCGAGTCGCAGAGGTGTTATCCCGCCTTAGGCTTCCTGTCCAAAGTCTGCACGGAGGAATTCGAACTCGAAGGATCGGACGGACTACGTTGTCGAGTGAAACCTGGAACAGAAGTCGTTATACCTAACCACGGGATGCATCTGGATCCTAAGTACTGGCCAGATCCAGAAGTTTTCGATCCAGATCGATTCGACAACGACAGGAAGCAGAGCATCGAGAAAATGACGTTCCTTCCTTTCGGAGATGGTCCAAGAATGTGCGTCGGGATGAGAATGGCACTTTTACAAATAAAAGTTTGTTTGGCAACTTTGTTGCTAGGCTACAAACTCGAGTTATCGCCAAAGACGCGATTACCTTTAAAATTATCCGCGTCACACTTCTTGTCTTCGCCCGTCGGTGGCTTGTGGGTGCATATTTCTAAAATTTAAAAGGTGTCTCTTTAGGCATATCTATAGAAATAGAATATTCATACAAACTATTACCGAGCAAACTTTTCATAACAATATTTGTATACGCTATTTTGAGTTTTCGTTCCTACTAAACTGTTAGAAATACAAGTCTTGTTTACTTTTTTGATATTATGTAAGAATGATACAAATTGATGCAATACCACCTTGGCGTTTTATTAAGATTACGAGCTGCTGTTATTTCGCCACGATTGATAAAGCAATGTGATAAATGATATGTGAGCATGATAAATGTATGTTTAAATATAATCAGACCAACAGTTGGTTGTCCATCTAATAAATTAATATTTGCGTAAACATCGTGTGTATTTTCATAATGTCACGTTGAAATTGAATAAAAGAATTTATGCTATGTAAAAAGGTCAGATAACAAACCCCTTTTATCACTAATTTCTAACTCTCATTATGCCAAATTTTATACGTAACACTTCACAATTCGACTGTATAGGAACTTATTTTCAAAAAAAGACACAATAAATGGATGTTTAAGAGTTACTTAATTTCCGGGCACAGATCTGGCGTACACAGTCATTATACTGTAAATGTATAGTTCCTTTCGGCGTTCGTTCGGTAACTGAGAGCAAATTACCTGTCGCGCCCTAATTCACTATGCGGCAAACGCCAATGTAAGATTATTTAACTTTATATGAATTTCAAAAAATAATACAACGGTAATGAAGCTAATACCAATATCAGTGAGAAACATTTCTGATAAGCAACGGGCAACCTAATGACTAGTTGTACGAACAATAACATACGCAATTTAAACTTTATCACGTGCTCCCTCGGATTCCACTTTACTGATAGAGTCATCAGTAGTGGTACGAATATACAGATATACTGTATCAATTGGTCTCGGTAAAAGCGAGACTACAGATGCAGTAATCGTCGACGAAGGTCTGTGAGAGCATCGCACGTACGGGTTGCTCCGTTCAGTAAAAGAACAATGGCTTCTACCTGGTTAACGTTTGTTTTGGGGGCGTTAGCCATATTGGTGGTCTATTTGATAAACAAATACAGTTATTGGAAGAGACGCGGAGTTCCGACCGCGAAAGGATGGATACCGTGGCTGGGACACTTTTTGCCAGTATTAACTCTGAGACTAAATGCGATGCAATTGTTGCAAAATGTGTACACAGATGCAAAAAATTATAGTATGATTGGCTTCTACATAATGACAACTCCGGCACTACTGGTCCGCGAGCCACAGTTAGTGAAGACCATTATGCAGAATAATTTTTCGAGTTTCCACGAGAACACGACGAAAATTCATCCCGATTTGGATCCTCTGGCAGCCAGAAATCCGTTTTTCAACTCCGGCGAAGCGTGGGCGAAGGGAAGAAAACGATTAACCTACGCATTTTCCAGCGGTAGATTGAAAATGCTTTTCGTGGCTGTACACGGAGTGTGCAAGAAACTGGAGGATTTTCTGGAGAGACGTTTAAAGTCGAACAACACCTACGAAGTCGAACTGAAGTCTTTGTTTTCAAGATTCACGGGCGAAGTTGTGGCGAACGCTGGTTTCGGCATGGAGGGTTTCTGCTTCGAGGACAAACCGCACCCCGAATCGTTCGATCGAATCGGTACATCGATATTGGAGCCGACTTTACTAAACGCAATTGCAAATACTATTATTTTCTTCGTACCTTCGCTCAGTAAAATATTGAGGATATCCTTTCTGCCGAAGAGGGTGGACAAATGGATAAGGCGAGTCGTCTCAGAAAATTTGGAACTCAGACTAAAATCAGCAACACCGAGGAACGATTTCCTCCAAGTGATGATCAACCTCGAAAAGGCTGAAGGAGAAGCATTGGACGAAGAAGTTCTCGCGAGCGATTCCCTTTCTTTCTTCCTGGATGGTTTCGAAACGTCCAGCATCACGCTCAGCTTCGTTGTATATCAACTGGCGGCTCATCAGGACGTTCAGCAGAGATTAAGGGAAGAAGTTCTATCTATAATTGCCAAACACGATGGTACGTTGACGTACGACGCTCTGAAGGAGATGACTTACATGGATCAAGTGATCAACGAGTCGCAAAGAATTTATCCAGCCGCTGGTGTTTTGACCAAGAAATGCACGGAAGAATTTGAACTCCAAGGTTCGGATGGACTGTGTTGTCGAGTAGAACCTGGAACAGAGATCCACTTACCTCTCGCTGCCTTGCAAGTAGATCCCAAATACTGGCCAGATCCAGAAGTTTTCGATCCAGACCGATTCGACAACGACAGGAAGCAGAACATCGAGAAAATGACATTCTTTCCTTTCGGGGAAGGTCCAAGAATGTGCGTCGGCATGAAAATAGCACTTCTACAAATGAAAGCTTGTTTGGTAACTTTGATGCGAGGCTACAAACTCGAACTATCGCCAAAGATGCAATTACCTTTAAAATTATCTGCTTCTCATTTCTTGGCTGCTGCAGTCGGTGGCTTGTGGGCGAATATTTCAAAGATTTAAGAGGTGTCTGCTTAGGTATCTGTGGAAATAAAACTTCTGTTGCAATAACATTCATTTTACGATGTGCATTATATCAAACAACATTCGTGCAATATATTCAGAATATCAATGTATGTTTAAATGTAATCAATCCAGCAGTTGTCTAATAAATTAATATTTGCATGTACATTGTTTGTATTTCCGTAGTGTCACGTTGAAACTGAATTAGTGGTTGCATCGGTGGCGAGAGTATTTTTATATAATTCTTAATAAAGGTATATTATGGCACGCGGAAGGGGCAGATGATAAATGATTGAATTTGACTTATTTTTGGTTCCTAACGCATAATTGACAGAATCTATTTAGAAAAATTAAAGGAAATTAAAATACATTTCTTAGAAATTTTGACGAAATAATGAAATGGTAATGAAATTAATACTAATGTTATTGCGAAGTATTACCTTCTGATACGCAACGATCAAGCTCATGACCAGTTGTATGAACGATAACATGTGGAATTCATCCTTTATGACGTACGCCCTTGAGATCAACTTTACTGATACAGTTATCAGTATTAGTGTGAATATACAGATATACTGTATCAATTGCTCATGGTAAGAGCGAGAAGGTCTGTGATAGCATTGCACGTACGGGCTGCTTCGTACAGTAAAAGTACAATGACTTCTACCTGTTTAACGCTTGTTCTGGGGGCTTCAGTTCTATTGGTTGTCCATTTGATAAACAAATACCGTGGCTGGGACACTTTTTGCCAGTATTAGCTCTGAGAGTAAATGCGTCGCAACTGTTGCAAAATATGTACAGAGACGAAAAAAATTATAGTATGACTGGTCAGATCCAGAAGTTTTCGATCCGGATCGATTTAGCGAAGACAGAAAGCAGAGCATTGAGAAAATGACGTTCCTTCCTTTCGGGGAAGGTCCGAGGATGTGTGTTGGCATGAGAATGGCAATTTTGTAAATGAAGGCTTGTTTGGCAACTTTGATGCGAGGCTACAAACTCGAGCTATCATCAAAGACCCAATTACCTTTAAAATGATCCGCGTCACACTTCTTGCCTCCGCCAGTCGGTGGTTTGTGGGTGCATATTTCTAAAATTTAAAAGTGACTTCATCAGTGTTAGCCATTATTTGAATAATTTTGTTTATTAAACATATATAGGTATATTAAAGATATAAAATTTATTAAAACCTAACTCAAAATGATTCTTTCCTCGTACTGTATCGTGGAAATATTCACTATAGCAATTTTTCAACAATTTGTATTAGTATCGTTCCATACTGCAGTTCGTACAACAATTTCTGCATCTTCTTTTGTAATATGCTTCGGTTATTCTTTTTTAATAAACCATTGTACAACCAGAATAATTAACAAACGTTATCTCAGTAGTAATCATTAAGGAAATTCATGTAATGTTTGCAGTAACTGCAGGTCGTAACAGGAAACGAAGCGCAACATCACGATGGAAACCAGTTTCGCTTACCACGTACAAAATATAGAAATAGAGAACTCTATAAATGATCGCAAGGTCAATTTGATCTGCATGCGCGTAATGATGTGTAGTTGCTGATTCTATTACGGAAGTCTCTTCTATTTTGTACACTCCGTGAGAAAAATGAAGGACACTTGATGAATATTCACTCCATACTTTACAGAACCACTTTGGCATTTAAGAGCAGTAATTAATTCTTTTTTAGCAACGTTTGTAACCTTTTAACTGACCCCATTCTATTTTAATTCATTGATATTTCGAACTATCTGCTATTTTTATGTATCTCTCTGTTTTTCTCACTCGTTGGTTTTGTTTTATTCTTGTGGAAATGTCCAGTGTCCGACAATAACACAACACAGATAACCGTAGGAATAATGCTACACAGTATATTCTTAGTATGCGTTGCACGGAGGCAGGCGAAACGATGACGTTGACGTCATTGGATCGCGCATTTATCTGTACAACACTGTACGTACATGTTCTATTCATTTATCGCAATCATTCGTTAATGGGTAATCGCCGGCAGCAGTACGTAACAGTATCGTCCGTGCAAATCGCTTCATAAAAGAGCAAAAGAATGGCGTCTGCCACTCTGACGCTCGTTGTGGGGGCGTTAGCCATATTGGTGGTCCACTTGATAAACAAATACAGTTTTTGGAAGAGACACGGAGTACCGACTGCGAAGGGATTGGTACCGACGTTTGGTCACGTATGGCCAGTAGTGAGTTTAAAGACTAGTATATCGGATGTGATTCGCAGAATCTACAATGAAGCTAATAATAGCAGTATGGTTGGATACTACAAAGTTACAACTCCAGTATTAATAGTTCGTGAACCACAATTAGTGAAGACCATGTTGCAGACTAATCTTCCAAGTTTCCACGAGAATGGGTTGAAAATCGATCCTGACCTAGATCCTCTAGCATCCAAGAATCCATTCTTCAATTACGGCGAGGTGTGGATGGCCGCGAGAAAACGATTGACGTACGCGTTCTCCGGTATGAGATTGAAAATCCTTTTCGGGGCTGTGGCCGGAGTGTGCAAGAAACTCGAGGACTTTCTGGACAAACATCTGAAGTCGGAGAAGACGTTCGAAGTCGAGCTGAAGTCTTTGTTTTCGAGATACACGGGCGAAGTTGTCGCGAATGCTGGCTTAGGCATCGAGGGTCACTGTTTCGAGGATAAACCGCATCCGGGATCCTTCGACGAGATGGGCAAACTTATGGTCCAGCCGAATTTAGCGACCGGATTTGTGGTTATGATTTTCTTCTTCATGCCTGTGCTCGGTAAAATTCTTAGGGTTCCCTTTGTGCCGAGAAAGTTGGACAGATTTATAAGACACGTTATCGCGGAGAATATGAAGATTAGACGAGAATCGCAGACACCGAGGAACGATTTCCTTCAAACGATGATCGAACTCGAGAAGGACGAAGGGAAAAAAATGAACCAAGAAATTCTCACGGCTGACGCGCTTTCATTCTTTGTCGACGGATACGAAACGTCCAGCATCACGCTCAGTTTCGTCGGTTATCAATTGGCGGTTCATCAGGACATCCAAGAGAAGCTGAGGGACGAAGTTACGTCCACGATTGCCAAACACGGCGGTACCTTGACCTACGACAGCCTAAAAGAAATGACTTACATGGATCAAGTGATGAGCGAGTCGCAGAGAACGTATCCAGCTGTGGGCTTCCTTACCAAGCTGTGTACCCAAGAATTCGAGTTCGAAGGATCGGATGGTCTGCGTTGCCGAGTAAAGCCTGGAACAGAGGTCATTGTACCTATTCATGCACTGCACCTAGATCCCAAGTACTGGACCGACCCGGAAGTATTCGATCCAGAACGATTTGACAGCGTCAGGAAGCAGAGCATCGAGAAAATGACCTTTTTACCTTTCGGGGAGGGTCCAAGGATGTGCGTTGGCATGAGAATGGCAGTTTTGCAGATGAAGGCTTGCGTGGCAACTTTGCTGCGTGGCTACAAACTCGAGCTGTCGCCGAAAACGCAGCTTCCTTTACGGTTATCGTCAGCTCATTTTCTATCTTCCCCAGTCGGTGGCTTGTGGGTGAAGATTTCAAAAATTTAACAACCAAGGTCTGCAAAAATAGTAATATGTACTTTAAACTCAATCTCAATTTACTGAGACAAAGAAACAAACGAATGACGTAACATAAGGAAAACAACTCTGAACTAATACTACGTTATGTGCTTATATAAGTCTTATTCGCATCATTTTTCATTCATATCCTTTTATAATTCCCGTACTCTTTTCTGTATTTTTGTACCTATTAACCGTCCAACTAAAAAAATAAAAAATTAAATATAAAATGTAGACGATCCAAGCAAGGTGTATTTATTTAGTTCTTTTTACCTGCAGTAATAATAGTAATAATTTAAAGTTACATTTTCTTAATCAATTGAACAATCTTGACAGCAAGTTATTCAGGCGATTAGTTTACAACAGGGTATCGAACTGGATTCTTTTGATACTTAATAATTCTGCTCTTTCCTTGAACCACTCCATACACGGAGCTCACGTTCTCTTAAATTTTCTCGTGGCGGAGTGTAATATTTTTAATTGGAGTATAAATTCCCCTGCGATTCAACACTGAATACTTTCCAACTCTTGCACGAGGCGTGCAAGCACGAAGTAGGTTTTAAAATTGAGGCGAACCGTACGCTTTGACTAGAAAGAGTGTTTCGCGTTTCAGCGTATAAACGGAAAGTAAGAAAGACCAAAGGGGTAGCAAAACGCCCAAGAGACGTTGACGGACAAGAGTCTCGGAGACGTACGTGAATAATAGAAAAAGGAAAGAGGTGCCAGTAAATTTCGTAGGAGATGAATACGTTTTCCTACGGACACAATCGTAGCAAACGCGGAAAGAGTCTCGGTCGGACGTCTGGAACAGGGTTGACGGAAAATTTTCGCAGACGTGAGCATTACTTTTTACGAGTGTGGCACCTAAGAGACCAACCGTATCCGTGAAACGCGCTCTTAGGTGCTTCATATTTTATACCCTGTTGCTTTCGACACCCGTTGCACAAGTAGTGCAACTATCTCATATAGTTTCAAATGAAAATAGATGTTATACGTGTTCTCGCAGCGACGAATATAAGAATACGTAATATGCGTGAAAGCATTATTGTAGTTTGTGTCTTCTTTGGAAAAGAAAATATCCAAAGTGTGACCGGATACACCGAAAAGTGAAATAGCACGTTAGGAGGTTTATTAAATGATATCTCTTTTATTTTTAATATTAAGTATTTATTACATACAAGCATTTATACAATACGAAGTATCTTTAGACGTGACTGATGATATTTAGCGTTCTCAGTATTTGTATTGTTTAGAAACATTCTTTCGTATGTATTGAGATTATTATTATTGTTATTATTCTTATAGTTATTATTAATTACGTGTCCTTATAGAATAGTTTTAGTTAGACCGAATAGAGCAGTTTGAATAAATAAACACGATACATAGTCATTGCATACTTTTGTCGTGAAAAGCAACGTCGTACTTTTATAGTGAAAAATAATCATTCACGGAGTATATCGTCAAAATTACGTAAGACGGATTCGAATTCCCTTGTCGGTACCGTGACTACGCGCTCGAAAAAGCCTTAGGCGATCAGAATGCCTTAGGATCGTATGCATCTGTACAGCAGTGTGCTACAATTTTCAATGAAAAATAAAAAAGAAACGCGCATTCGTACTCGTTCAAACGTTAGTTCACAGGTTTCGTGCGACAGAAACAATTTGCGACATGAAACACTGCGGTGTTACATACATGTATGCTCGACGACCTTAAATTAAACAGTTTTCGAAGAAAAGAACCGGCAGCACGTATGCAGCGGCGAATTTCATCAGATCGTTCGCGATATTAAATATACGTAGAAAGATAACAGGGAAACTCGTAATATCTCACATGTAGCACGAACACAAGAAAAAAGAAGAAAAGCAAAAACGGTGTACAGAGTTCGTAAATCAGTGATATCCTTTCAGACGTGTCGATGACTCTCGTTTATTTCTGTTATTCGAAAATAAAAATAATATCGGATTACTTTATTACCCTCGATGCAAATAGCCATACACAGGTCGGGCATTATCACGCGCCTGCGGTTAAGAAAATGTTACAACACGATTTGTATCTGTGTCAAGAAATGATACCCATTTTATAATAGTATGCCACAATAGTAACAAATAATTCATGTACTTATACACCAATTACAATAATTGCTCAATAACATCAGGCTTCTCAAATTATCGTTTTCTATCTGTATACTAGTATGATACCACTATAATGAATAGCCACCACTGGATAACGCAATGTGTGACCGTGTAATTTCGTGTACTCGATTTCCATGAAATAACTGGCGAGGCTGAGCTCTTCACTAGAATTTGCATGATTACGTTAACCTGTTGTTTTAGTATTGAAACGTGTAAACTGGCGATTTCGCATTTCACCGACTATCGTAGTCTAGCAGAACATCATTTACAAAGAAAGTAACATAGCTATCGTTTCGTTTATTCCGCGAACGTATGCAGTGGCTATTTCACAAAGCAATCGCCGTCTTCATTCATCGTCGTCATCATCACAGCTAGAAAATTTATGTTAGATTCGCGAAAACATAACAGTAATGAAAATCTAGTTGGATACCTAGAGTACCAATATTAGGTGTGTTTTCTATAAAAAAAAAAATAAAACAAAAAAAAAAAATACGATAAAAACAGTAAAATTGCTTGACTAGTGAGCGCACGCCCCAAAAATGTAGTATGGAAGAAATGGTTTTTTTCTTTTTTTACATCATATCTGCAAAGGATCTTACTAGATATGATTATACATAGATTCCTTTTCTATATTCAAATTCTATAAGGTAATATTATACTATCTCTTATGTAAGAACAATCATTGGAGCTTACCTCCTACGTCATTTTGGCAGATACAGTTTCGCATGATACATCGTTTTTTTTTTCGAACCAATTCACAATCTTGTGCTATGTTTGTCAAGCCGTTTTACACATTCGTTCACGTATACAAATCACGAATGCACTGATTTCCCTATTCAAAAATCGTAAAATCTCGTTTCGTTACATTTTCGATAAAAGACTCACAAAACATAAAACATCATTACGGTACGGACGAAAAATGCGTGAAATTAATTTAATGAAATTTGTTACAGTAAAAGTATATACGCGTGTTTGAAATCATATTACGTTATAAACAGGCCTCATTCCCTTTAAAGGTCCTCTAAAACATTAGATTTATATCCTAATAGCATACTATAACGGACTGAGTGCCTATTTGCTGTTTGCATAATATTATTAATTAACATTATATATTATTTTACAATTCTCGTGACAACGTTTAAGGACAAGGTAGTCTTTTCATTTTTTTTTTTCATTTTTTGACGTAGTGCCCCCATTCTCTACTTAGATCTCCATTTCTACACATCGATAGCGCTTATTTACATTATCTCATAAATGACGTCATTTCAATTATATACCTATATTGCTTGCTGTAAGTAACAGGGCATTTCGATCCAATTGTTCTTCTTCCTTTTCACCAGAATGTTTAATACGCGCATTATGATAAAAGATCTGCAGACCAAGAATATTGTGCGTTACATTTACATTTAACACATAAATGCAGGGTGTCGCGATAGTAATTAATACACGTACCTGGTACTTGACTATTATCTTGTGGTTTGTTGTTTATAAAAGAATCCTGGAACGGATTTACATTGACGTTAGTAGCAGTAGGCATGTATGGGTTGGCCATTGGAGTGAAAGGTATAGCTGCTGGATTTAGGTTCGAGTTGAGGGTGTCTTCGTTGGCCAAATTAGATGTCAGTTCGAGTATTGGGCCACTACTGCTATTACTGAGAGAGTCGAATTCCGTTAGGTCTAACAGGTTGTTGGTCACGTTGTTTTGTTTGCTATAAAATCAGCCAAAAAGGAAACATACAAATACTAAATAATAGGCGAATAACACTAGAAACTACGGCTTCAGCGTATTGTAATTTCGTGATAAGAAATTACAATTACTAATCGACTAAGCCAAATTATATACGAGTCATACCTTGAACACTATTTTACTAAAATTAATATATACATATCATAATAGAATTTGTTACTATCTAGATTTGTTAATTTCTTAATATAGAAGCTAATTTTCGAATATCTAATGTTATCTAAAATTTTTCACGAATGACGAAGGAAATAAACGATTAACAACTATATACTTTTTTCGCTCACTTTCTTCGTGTCATTTGTCTTGTACGAAATTATAATAGCAAAATATTTTCGAAATCAAACGCTTGCTGTGAAAATTTATCGTACAATAAATTTTCTTCGTAGTAATTCGTTCTTGCATCAGCGCTATGTTGCTGACTAATATTTTGTAAGGCAGCTACTTTAATGCCGTAAAGCAGCTATAAAAAAGCGTTCGTATGTGCTCATGAACTTATGTAAAAGTCTATGGCATAAAGGAAACAGTATATGAAACACAATTGACACACAAAGGAATTTTCTCTCTCGATAAAATTAGAGATGTAACGTATAAGTAACTTATGTACAAGATACTACCATACAGCAGGTTCACAGAGATCTGGTTACAGCAATTATGTCTATCCGCTTAGTTATGTATATCGGATTTCTCTCATTCGTGTATAAAATACGTTGTAAAGTATTCATGCCTCATTTTGACATGGGTTGTTTCCTATAGGAATTGTGGAATGGACTGTGTGAAACATCTTTGTATTATACAACGAAAGTGTAACGTTAAAATATGTGAAGGTCAAATAGTACATAGCAAAAGTAGACAGTAAGTTGACACGTACTGCTGGATGATGTACAACACAAACATAAAGAACATGTATAAAGTAGAGCAAAGAAAAGTACAAGCCACACCATATTGATAGGATCAATTGACAACATGCATTGGTGATAATAAAATCGGCAATAACAATATGAACACTGTACTTAAGGCATACATAACGAGCTTGTATAATAACTAATTGGAGGTAAGATAAAGTAATAGCTCACCAAAGACGATACATTACACGTTGCGGTAAAAGTACGTGTAAAAGTAATAACAGTTGGGGTAAATTAATCAATCTTTGATGAGCTTGTATGATAAAATTACAAAACAAAATGTTTAGATGAGTCATTAAATTTATGCTATTTATCTTTCTTTACATTATGTACACTGAATTTATTATCGATTAATCGGTATTTCACGCTATAACTCTGTTAGTTGTTTAACATTTTCATGCTTCGTATAATATTACATGTTTTATGCCATTAATATATTACTAAAAAGAGTCGACGTACATATAAGTTTAATCTTTTAATATTCCTTTAGAGGTCTACCTAAAAATAGTATATTTTTAACTAGTACATGATTAAATATAAATTATAAAATATATATATATAAGTATAATAGACAATACAATATACATTCTTCACACCTCTCATATGTTACCGTTGATATCATAAAGTTTCGTATAATTTATTAGTTAGTTATTAGAATATCCGTGCGATTAGGTGAATTTTTTAATAGCGGTAAATAATTATCAGTATATTCTTTTCATATTTGTCAACCATTGCTCTGACTACTTTTGCAATGTACAATACACGTATAATTGTTTGCATAATAATATTAATATAAAGCAATTTCTACCGAGCTAATATAAATTTTATAGGCAGTTCTTTCCAATGTAATCCATGGGAAAGCACAATAAACTTTGTTCTTTAAATAACTATGTATAGTACATACATTTTTTCAAACTTAATTTTTTGTTGCTTTACGAGTACCACAAAAAACATCTCAAACAACAAAATTCATTATATATACACATTAACGATAAATTCTCAGCATACCACGCGTTTTCGTGTTTTAGAATAAAAATATGGGATTATCGTGTTTTAGAATACAAATACGGGATTATCGTGTTTCGCATTTTACTTTTTACGTTTAAATTGTTTTGTTTAGGAATTAATATGAATTCTTAATAAAGTGTTCTCTTTTTTTTCCCAATTCTAAGCATAAAAAACATACATTACAATTCATACATGTAAATAATTAATGTGGCACTTTTTCTAATCCTATTTTATATTAATTAGAAAAACAATGCTCACACACTAGCCATTTCATTCATGGTTTGCTTTCCACTTGAAGCCGTGGAAAGTATGGTATAAAACATAATGATACTGAAACTGTACTGATGCTGTAGAATAAATGTAGAAGAAAAGCGATACCATAGACAGTTTTTTTTAAAAATAGACTAGTAATTACTACAAACTTCACAGACGGTTATTTATAGCTCACACTGTGTGTGCGTGTATATCAATTCATCGTGATTCTATAAATAGTTTTTATTTTATAAATGACTAGAGTATTACCCTGAATCATTCAAAGTACAGAGTGTTATTTTTTATCCGTTAAATCATTATATGTTTATAAATACGTCCGGTTTGAATCATTAAACATCAACATTGCAACTTTCATGTCATTTTGTGTTTTAGTATATACGTTCGTGACACTAGTTTTTACATGTAATGTGTATCATGATTTAAACTGATTTTTTTTCATATACTTGGAATATACATTTTGCGTTAATTTTACGTGAGAAATATGTTCCTACATATTTATCCCAACAGTCCTAAAAGTCAGTCGACATTTTTACGTACGTAATGGCTAGTATTGTGCAATTATTTATATTATTTTAGTTACATTATTAGCCATATTTTTTCGAAAGAAATTATAATTGCATTTAATAGATATAAGACGTAGCATCGCGTATATATATATGTATATATACACCATGCATTCGACAGAAATAACGATCTATTAGGAATTCGTACGACTTTTGAATCAGAACGGTTTCGTTCATGGAAAAATATTTCTTACTTTGTAGCGCCTCGAAAATCAAAACGAATATGTTAAAAATTCAATGGAAATTCCTAGTGCAGAGAAGTACGCATGTGTGAGGAATGCAGCAGTGTCGAGAACGCTAGTTTGATATAAAGCCTTGCAGGGGCATTAATATAGTATATTATTGTCGAACGATCTAAAACAAATGAACTTACAATTCTTTGAGATGCTCTTCGATGTAATCTTTTAGTATTTTTTATTTTATTTTTTTTTGTTTGCTTTTGTATTTTCATTATCGATGGGAAATCCAGTTATATCGTGGACTTTTTGTATGGCGTTCGGTAGATGTTAATATGTAACTCTTACGGTTAATGTAAATGTTTTCACAAATCTGTAATTTTTATATTTGTATACTTACACGGTGGCATTATCCAATGTAATTGATTGACTGTTGATACCATTTCCGTGATTCGTATGATGACCATTCAGTTCTCCTTCCACATTACCCTGATTATTATCCAATACAATTTTACTTTCGTTAATGCCATTACTATGTGTGCCGTTATGCACAATGTCCGTTGTAGTATTGTTTTCCGTATGATGAGCTCGTTGCTCTCCGCTAATGAATTGTTGAGTTGCTTCGGATATGAGACTGGCTGTCATAACATCTTCGTTTTTGCTACCTGGTGCTGGCTTATTTTCATCGTTAGGACTGTTGTCTTCTTTCAATTTATCGCTATCACCACCTTCTCCCTAAACATTACAAAAACACAACCGTGAACGTGGGTTTACTAACAGAACAGAGAATGAATTCAAAAAACGTACCTTAGTGGGCGTGTTGCTCTGATTTTTCCCGCGAGTTCTAAGCATAATCGCCTCGACGCGTTTACGTCTAGCGAGTCTTTCCTCTTCTTCCTTTTTCAGACGCTCAGCCATTTCGATCCGTTGTCTGCAACATATTGCAATAACGTACTTGGTATTTTACCGTTAAAAAAAGTGAAAATCAATCATGCCAATAGAATTTTCTCTGACCTTTCCGCCTCTTCTCTCGCTTTCCGCTCGCTCTCTTCTTTCTCCTGCTTCTGACGGGCTTCTTCTTCTCTTCTTCGCCTGTCTTCTTCCTCGCGACGCGTCGCCTCTTCGATAGCCAATCGCAGTCTATGTTCTTCAGCCTCTCTAGCCTCGTTTGCCAAACGAAGCGTTTCCTCCTCGAAACGGCGTTGCTCCTCTTCTTCGGCGCGCAATCTCTCGCTTTCCAGGCGCGCTTCTTCCTCCTATTAAAAGATTTTCTTGTAAAGCCTCTTGTCCCCGCGAACAATACGCGTTTTCATGAAACGAATCTCTAACAACGCACCTGTCGTTGGCGTTCCAGTTCGGCCTCCCGTTCCGCCTGCTCTCTGGCCAATCTTCTTCGCTCTGCTATGGCTGCCTTAGCCTCCTCCTCGGTGGTAATCCTGATCTTCGCTATCATCGAGGCTGAAAAACGAATCGATCGTCAGTTTCCGATTCAACGCCGATAACTTTATCGCCGACTCACCTGACATGTCTACCTGCTCCTCCAAATTGTTCTCGGATTTCGCCTCGGTTTCGACCGGCTTCTTCTCCTGTTTGTTGTCATCCTTTCTCGCGACTTTGGGCGTTTCTTGAGGCGGCACGACGGACTGGACCTCTTGATTCGAATTGGTCTCGTCTTTCGTCTGTTTGGACACCGATACGGTATTGGATTGTTCGATAATAGCTGGCTCTTTAACCTGTTCCGTGCTCTGTTCCGCCGCAGTTATTTCTTGCTGCAACGAAATAAGGACAAGTGACGCAACACAGAACTATTAACCAGAAGCAGAGACGGACAGAATTCTGTTCGAAATTTTTGCCAATCTCTAACTAAGATCGTCACATCGTTACTCGTTACAGAGAAGAAGAATGAATTACTTGTGTCTTTTCTGTGCCCTGGTCTTTCTTCTCTTCGTGCTTGTCCTCCGACTTGATCTCTTCCTTGATTTCGTGTTTTATTATCTCAGCGGTGGTCTCGCGAATGAACGGTTCATTCTCGACGCTCGGGCTTTGCAGTGGCGTTGCTTTCGAGGTTATTCGCGGGGACGCCTTGGCGTTCTTTATCAGTTTCTCCGTGGGTTTCTTCGTGTCCGCCGATTTCGGCGTGGAAGGTTTCTTTGGAGTGCTATGGACCTTTGGCAGTGGGGGCTTCGAATCCTTCGTCAGCTTCGTCTCGGCCAACAGATCTGCGGCGAGAATTCGTGATTCGCGACACGCACTAACTTGCGTTTCCATACAAACGGTATTTTAATGTGCAATCAAAAAAGAAAAAAAAAAATAATAAAAAATAATAAAAATCAAAGAAAGAGACAATAACTAATAAAAATCGAACCAATTTTTAAGTAATTAAGAGAACGTCGATAGCGAATCAACGTAGTCGATGGACACACAATTTATTGAAATCGAAACGAAAGAACGGACGGGCGATGATAAACAAAGTCCGCCTACATTTTCATCGGGAAAATAAACGAGACGTTCCGCGTCAAATCGATGTCAGGGATTTTGGCGAAATTGAAATACGATGTAATCCACGTTAATGGCCCGGTCGTATGTTTTATGTTTTTCCCTGCACGAGAGGATATTAGGCTATTAACGTTTCGTATTGCTCGAACAAATTCGTAACCAGCGAAACGATGACTCAAAGTCCCTCTAGTTCGGTATGGACCACATCGTATTCGAGGTTCACCGAAATCCCCGCGATGGCGGCCAAGATAGGATCGATTTGGCGTGGAATGGGCCACGTCTGTATCTTCCCGGGCGTTTGATGCACGCGATCGTTGGGAAACGGTGTACCGGTCACGCGATTAAATAAGAAGAGAATTTAAAGGGCATGCTCACTGTGTCGTTCTGTGACTGAAACACCGGTACCGGCAATAGAAGCAGGTCGCGGCCGACGCGGGGCAGTCGTACGGGGACGCAGATTGACGTTACTGCTGCCCACACTGCTGGCGCTTTGCTGGCTCATGGAGCTGTGCGGTCGTGATGGGCTGTTCGGTGTCACCTCCCCGCTGCGGATGCCTACGCGTACCCACCCAAGGTGAACATCTCTTCATTTACGTGTTTCGTGCATATGTTCGCGCGTTAAGTGCAAAAGAAACAGATTGCCGCGAAACCGCGGCACCTTCGCGTATGTCGCGACACTTCATGGCGACTCGCGGTTAAAGAGCTGTCAGAGGCTTCGCGGCTAAGAGCCGTGTCCTTTCTAGGAATGATTCAGCGCGTAACTGCACACCTTTGAATTCAACTGCACGCGTTTGCAACCAAATCGGGACCAGACACCGCGCAGGGAAGCTCAGGCACTTTGTTTTCAAGGGGGTAGTCTAGCTGTAGAATTTTAAATATGGAGTCGTTTTAAATCTGGTCGATCTTACATTTTTGGAGAACTTAGTGATGAAAATTCTATATAAAACACGTAGAAGAATGACCAGTTCAGTGTTCAAGGTTGTTTAACGGAATTAAATAATATCGATCGATTTCCACAATGGGAGGGAAGTATCTGGTGAAGTTAGATCAGATGCTCCAAATGATGTTTAATAGGACACGTCTCGTGCGTAAAAGCCTCCGAACAGATTTAACTGCGGAAACCTGTGCTGCGAAAGTATCAAGAATATCTTGTATCACGGCAATGGTACGATCGCGACACACGAAAGACTGTGTTATCATGTCGGATCGTTGGTGCACAATGGTTAACATGTTTCGACAAACCGGTCTCTTTTCTCTCTCACTGTTGCATCTGTTTTCATTGATATTAAGACAGAAATGAGAACGAAAGGCGAAATTAAAAAATAGAACAAGCACCGCCACCAAAATTATTTTTATCTGTGCCGTTTGTGTATATACATCGAGGATAAATGAGAAAAAAAAAACACAGGCTGAAAAATAAAGGTACAGAAAAATCATAAAACCACTGTAACACAGCGACAGAAAGGAATAGTCGAAGAACAAAAATAGAGCGAAGAATGTATTGCACACTAAATACGATTATGATTCGTCTGTACAGTTCCAAAGGGTTTTGTGCGCTAAACACACATGTGTATAGGTGATAAGGTACTTAAAAAAAAATATATATGTGTAGCTTACCGAAAACGTTAGACCTTCACCTCTGGTACCGAAAAGCCGGCGTGATCTGTCGCTTCTTAGCAGGAGAGTTTTGTTAATCAATTCGTACGCGTTAATGTGACAATCGACAAGAACTTCATGCAGTCCCGCGTATGTATAATCGTTGTTAAATATCGATTGTTAAGGGAAGACGAAAAAGCGTGATACGCTCTGTAAAGTTCGTTTTGTTAGTCTTCGTTCGATGTTCAAGCGTGCGTTCGACTCGTACGAAAAAACGTATCGTACGAGATTGTCTGTCTTATTGATTCACAATGGCTACTCTCTGCGTCCGTCGTGCATGCGTATGTGCACCCAACTCACGTCAGAACGAGCACGATATCGTTGAAAGTCCTCTATCAGTCCGAGCGATGAGTTAACGCAAATTAGTATGAAGCGGATTCTGCGAGTACGTCGTCAGGCTACGTTAAAGACGAAACTGACGACGGAAAGTATGAAACGGAGCTCTTGACGCCCGGTTCGTCGAGTACTCGAGTACTCGTGCAATTATTTTTCATTTACATCGTGTAACATTTTAGCGAACTTTGAAGCAGTTAATAATAAGATTATAGAAAGCGATATAGTCTCAGCGTAGACTTTATAAGGAACATTTTAACATAAACGAACAGAAATGCAAAGATTTCCAAATCTAAGCAGTCAAGTTTGACGAGGGAATACACTAACTTTAATGCATCACAGCGGTCTGCTTTTTTAATTTGGTTTCTCGACTGAAAAGCATCGAGTGCAGTTCTCCGTAACGTATTAAAAAAATTCATGTTTTGTTGTTTTGGATATACAAGGAAGAACAAGGTGCGTCGAGAGCTCCAGCGTGTAGAAACACCCCCAATGGCCGATTTGCCGCAGAATATATTTACATGTGCGAACTCTGCGACGTATGAGGGACAAAGATCTCTGAGTTGAGTGCACAGGAACGATCTTACCTTGCTGCTGGTGATTCTGATGCTCGCGTGCTTTGCGACGGAGTCTCTCGGCCCTCGTTGGTCTCGGGATCGGGACCGCGCCTGGCAACGTACCCATGCTACGAGAGTTATCTGAGCGTTTGAGGCTCTTTGCCCCGGACGCAGCTAAATGTGACATGCTGCGACTCATGCTAGAAGCGCTCAGAGGCTGGCTCTGCTGTTCCGTCAGTGTGCTAAGTTCTGTCGGACGTTTCCTAGGCTGCGCCAGCTGGTCCAGCCTGGACATCGAGTAAGTCCTACCTGGCGAACGTGTGAAGGCCTTGGCGCTGGAGCTGCGTCCCGTCGACGGCGGTCCATCACGCGGCGACGGTATCGTCGGCATCAAGTCGGTACGTCTCCTGTTCACTCGCAGATAAACCGAACTAGGTGTTCCTGGTGTTCCATCGCTCTCTTCACCTGCAAAGAGTTCCCCTTTACAAGCCAAGCGGAAAGCGACGACTAAATCTTGCGCGCCCTACGTGAAAGTCTAATGGAGTACAGTCGTTGCTCGAATTACTAGAGGCACTCAGGAGACGACGGGTTTTCTCAGCTTACAGGATAAACATAGCTCTACAACAGGCGAATGAAACTTGTAACCGTACACTTGCTAAATAACGAAGAATAGCGCAACGATTCGTGAAGATTTGCATCCTGGCGGGAACGTAGTTTCAGGAATTCTCGAAACGGGAATATTTCTTGTTTTGAGAATGAAACGGTCCTAATCGGCCCTCAAAATAACCCCTCTTACACTTATATTATATTATCGATTCTCAATATTATTGCTGATTTTATGTACAACTCGGAACCGTATGTAAATGAATCGGAAATCGCACTAAAAGCATACGTAAAGAGACCAAAGAAAATGAAAATGAAATTATATTACGCAGTGCGACGAGAAAATTAAATTTACAGAATAGCTATGCGATACAAGTAAAAATATTAAATGTATGTACAAAACCGTACATCCAAGAATTGCCCAACGTGGTTCCGTTCCGTCTTGATGCCCAAGAAAAGCTAAAAGCTGATGCTCGTTTACATTACGACCTCGAAACGGAACGAAAGAAAACGGAAGTGCCTGGATGTAGATTTCTCTACTTACAGTGTTAGTCCTGGAAAAAATTATAAAGCGACCGAAACGTAGTGTTCGATGAATTTAATTCTGACTGGAAACGAGGACTCTTTACAAGCAATAACGTAGTTAAAATTGAACCCTCAGTGCCTCTAATAATTTGATCGACCGCTGCAAATGCGCAAGGCGCGCACGTAAATTCTTCGCCATCGCAACACAAAAAGATGTTCCGCTCGATAATCGTGTGCGTACACGGCATTCGCATAAAGTTTTAAACTACAAATCGCCAAATTTTACGGTCTTGTCCATGCAGTTGTGCATCGAAGCAATACGGATAATATATTGTGCGTGTAGCTCGCGACGTCATTCGACAATACTACCAGAAGCGGAATCGAACAAGAATGTCGTCGAGACGCATGCCAATGGACATTGTGGATATTCGGGAATAGAATGCGGGGATCGTGAACATATGCGAACGACGCTATGAAAGCAGTGTAACCGAAAGGATACGTGCAAACGATAACGCGAAAAATCCCGATCATGCAAACTATCTCCGTATATTAGCATCTAAATTAATATATATCGATATACATATACAGGGTTTTCGGCCACCCTTGGAAAAAATTTTAATGGGAGATTCTGGAGGCCAAAATAAGACGAAAATCAAGAATACCAATTTGTTGATTGGTTTCTTAACAAAACTTCAATCAAGAAATTGATATTCTTCGTTTTCGTCTTATTATGGCCTTTAGAATCTCCCATTAAAATTTTTCCCAAAGGTGGCCGAATACTCTGTATATTAGGTCGTCTCATAAGTTCGTGCAATTCGACTTTAGTTGATTCCTTCATTTCATAAAAATATCAAAATACTTAAGACAAGTTGCGAGACGACCTGATACATCGTTCGAACCGAAACAAGCTATTGCTACGAAAGTAAGCGTTTTAAAACGTTTCGTTATACTCGAATCGATCGTTAATACCGTCGAACGATGCTCGATAACGTTTCTACTGGAACCTTTGAATAACAAGCGACGCGATTCAATTGATATTTAAATATGAAAAAGTAGCGATGTAATAAGTTTTGTGAATGATATGAGTGTATGCATTGTCCTTTGAAACGAAATTGCAAAATGGTCGTGGAAGCGCGTGTATAATTAAAAATTAACCTATCGTCTATGTTCTCGTTTTGAAAATTGTATTCCATCGTTTGAGGCACCTCAGCTTCTCAGTGTCTATTTGTTCTAACTAAATTGCTACGATTACGAGGACGGACAATGAATCGAGTAAATTTTCTAATGTAACAGCGCTTACATAAAAGTTGTTAGTAAGTACAGCCTGTTAAAACGTACGTGAACGTGTGTTAGTATTGTTAGTATACAATTTTTGAACAGCGTTGGATGCATACGACTAACTAATGGTACGGGTTGTGCGACACCGATGTTTGTTCGAAAATTTCTGGCGAAATTGAAACGTTCGAGGCGTAGACGGGGCAACGCGAAAACACGAGCTGGAAACCTAGCCGCAGGAGTTGAAAGTTAGCGATCATCGGTGTTGCACAACTTCGTGAGACGCGCGTCGAACGTATTCGAAACAGTGTACACAGACACGTTTTCCATGAGCGTTAAATGATAGTGACATGCTTGCAAGAGATATATATGTATATATATCCCGTGTGTGCTAATGAACGAGAGACAAGGATATGTATCGACAGCTCATTCTGGGACGACAGAACAAAATCTTCCCGTTGCAGACTTTTTTTTTTTCTCTCTTTTTCGACATCAGGACTCACCACTGGCAGCCCGCTGAATCATCGGACGCCTAGTGTCGCTATCAGACTTATCATCGATGGCAAAGATGTCAGTTGTAGGAGGCAGAGAGAGGCTGGCTCTCTTATGTTTGGCAGGGGTTAAGGGAGGATCAGGGCTAGAATTCCAATTGAACACCTCGTACATGGACGAGGACATTCTCATATCTGCAAACAAACCATTCAATGCTGCAACATTAGGTACTTTTCTGTTTCTTTTTATTCTTTTTCTTTTCTTCTTTCTTTACTCTTTTTTTTTTGTGACTTTTAGGTGGGCGGGTTGGTTCGATAGAAAATAAGGGGTAGGGGATATTAGCATGAGTTAGAAATAGTGCGATTTACAAGGTACTTTTAAGATACATTTTACCTGACAGAGCCACCACCAGTAAGTAGAGATAACAGCGGATGCAAAGGATCTTAATTACCGAGGGAAATCTATCTCCGGCCGGGGGTAATATTCTCTAGTAAATTACGTTTACTCAGGCACATTTCTCGTATCACGTGTTCGTATATACTGAGTAGTACGACGAGCGAAGATGAGGTGCATCTCTCGTGTTTACATGAGGGAAAACTATGCTAGCAAAAGAACAGTACGCAGCAAAAAGAAAGTCTCTCGTTTATCGTCGAATCTTTGATATCTGTTTGGTGGTTAAACGCGGCAAAAAGAAAAGTCGGTGGACGCGGCTACTGAAAAGTGTACGACAAACTGTATCATGAATTTTAAAGAAACAGAAACAGCGGAGTCGAATTAAATTTTCGTCTCGGTAAAAATCCCCGGAAAGAATGCAAGACTTTGAATATTTCTGTACTTTTAATTCACATCCGATATAAAAAATTAATTCTTCGGAGATTTATTCCGAAACGAAGTGTGTTTTTCGTTCAATTCGACTCCCCTAAAAGTAAAAGACACATTACGAGTACCATAGCGCGAGAAACGATAACGCTAGAGGAATCGATCATCGCATGCTTTACGACAGCAACGTTCTCTCGATGAACAATCGTGGATATCGTGTAAAGTATCATGTGTTGGTGATCGATGTGTGATGTACGATAGTTAAATACAGTTGACATTTTAGTAAATATATATATAAAAAAAAAGAACAGAACATGAAACGAATATTTTGAAAATGAAGCGCCGCGACTTTTTTCGACGTCGAAACTCTTACGATCGTAACAGAGTCTCTCGTTTCCGTTCGTCTCTGGTAACCGAAGAACACGCGAACGATCTGAAATCATAACTGAAAACAGCGCAAGCAACGTGCGCAAATATCAATCCCCGTTCGCTGTCTGCGTAGTTTTCTGGAACGATGTGCATCCATGCGTTACGCACTGCGGCACCGATTGCGTAACTATAAATGTACTAGAAGCGCTGTGTGTAGAGAACGCAGTGAGAAAAGAAGCGGCCTTCGTTGCTGCGCGGGTTCGATCATCGGCAAGATTTCGAGATCCTCGGGTGCCAACGTGGAACAATTATATATCCTCACACCAACGACACGATTCACTAACGATTCTTACACGAACTCTGACTCTTTATTTCCACGCCGACGACTGCTGACTGACAGAACGCGCGACAGACGTCAACAGATTTCTCCAGCCAAAACGAAATTAATGGTACTTCGTCGTTCCAGGGATTCTAGGCAATACCTTTGTGAGATGTAACGTTTGAATCATCTAATTTTGGCCCGATCGATACGATATTTTAATTTTAGAAGTAATTTGAAAGAATATCCCTGGCCGACAGTCTCGTTTAAATATACGGTATAAACGAAAATATGTTCAACAGGATTCTGTATCGTATTTATAAAAAGCTACACCGGTAGGCAGGAAATTCTTTGTCTCGTTAATTCCGGCCGGGAAACACGTTACACGACCGCGAATCATATTTCTGTCAGCTTCGCGATTCATTCAAAGCATTCGGGGGACCATTAAACAAACGCACGCACGATGTCGACGAATCTCGCTCATTTGACGTCTGTCGCGACTAGTCGTGAATTATTGTTTCCGCGGTGATTTTCGCCGCGTCAAAGTAAACCCGAGCGTTCGCTGTAGTATCCAATGCAAGAGGCATGGTAGAAACACAAAGACAATTTGATCAACAATTTTTCACGAGCAAAATAATACTCGATACCAAAGTATTTTAGACTTTGAGTCATCTTCGGTAATACGGAACTAAAGAAAACTTATATGAAATTACCAAACCAGCGAACCAATTGATTTTATTTAAAAAATGGAAACTAAGGTACAGACAAAGACTTGTATGACGTATTTCATTTTTCTTTTTGAGAATGTAACTAATTACCTCGCCCCTTTAGAAATTTTATATTATTTTCGTTAATGTCTTTGTTCCGTAGTAGCGAAAATTACTCGATCGATATCGAACATGCTTGTAGAAGTCAAGTTGCCTTCGTTCGCAGAACCGTCGAAAATTTACCCGAATCCGACGACCACGGGTGTTAGAAAAGTAGTCACTGACCTTCGCCAGGTTTCCTGTCGAGTCCTCCGGCGGAAGTGGCTCGTTTCTTGCTACCGTCGAGCTCCCTTTCGGAGGATCTCCTGGTCAACGGCTGAGCAGCAGAGAACATCATCACGTTGGTGGTAGAGGTGGCTCTACGAGTTCCCCAGAAAGTGGAGCCACCGGTGTCTGCAGGTTCCAGCATCCTTGGCGTAGAACTTCCGAAAGCGAACACAATGTGCGACCTCTCGTTCTTCTTCTTCGCCTCTATGCGCGCCTCTCTCTCCTGGTTCTTCCGGAGGATCGCCTCCCGTCTTTCCCTCTCCGCCTCGCATATTAACCGCTTTCTCTCTTCGACTTGATTTCTTCTGAAACGATAATGAGAGCAATTGTCAGTCACGCGATTCTAGGGACCAGGAAGCAATAACTCTCGATCGGTATCGATCCCCAACGATTCTCCCAAAAATATGGAATACAATTTCTCCACGGAAAACTTTATTTTCGAGAATTCTTTTATTATTTTACGACGACGGACCACCACGATAAACGATGGAGAATTTGTTTCCTTAAACTTTTCAAACAAGAATTTCTCTGTTGCAGAATCGACGAGTGTTCTCCTTACGTGGTACCCCTCCCTCCCCTCCCTGCAGCCAGGAAAGTCATAATCCCATCCGAACATGCAATTACGTAAGTACAAAAAGACATTAAATATGCAACCCGCGTCGTTACCAAGACGATTCCGCGTACGGTATTTCCTTGAAAGCCGTTGGCCGTAAAAATTGCCGACTGAACTTTGATTGCGAAACGAGGATGTTAATAAACTCGAAATACATTTCCATGCCCGATACGCTATTCTTCTTCTATTTTTTCATCGCGGAAGAACCGTGTGCAGGTGCGCCGGCAATTTCCCTGGCTTCTCTGCGACGGCAGAACAGTTTAACACGGCACCATATTAACCAGGTCAACTTATAACCTCGCGGAGAACGTAATCTCGTAAGGAGCGTTTAAAACACATCAATGTTGTTCCGTGTCGCTCTAAACTCGCGTGTCATAGGTCGGAGAGAGTCGCTCTCGAGGTGACTTATCGTTAACCTCTCGTGCCCCGACACATTTCACCCCGATTCGAACCAAAGAACGTTGCAGACTATTTTAAAGATTAACCCCTTCCCGTGCCATTTACCACGACGAAATCCGGGCCCAAACTATAGGCGTCAACATATGGGTGACGTGGCAGTTAAAGTGTTAAAGCACGGAAAGGGGTTAAAGAGATTCGAGAATCTCACTGTCATATTTTTTTGTATAGGGGCGAGATCATTTAAGACGCGGTGAAGAATTCACGCGCGAGATAAATGGTGGGTTTCGAGTTCACACTAAACCTACCACGATCGGTCATCTAACGCGTGCTGTTCCGAAACTACTAGTGTTTTACTAATTACTAAGGCACTGTTAGAAGCGGCAAGGCTTCCCCTTTAAAATGGCTTTTGGTTTTTGTCGATCCGACTTTTAGTTTTCGAGATATCGTAATTTATGTAAAGAGATAATTTCTCTATCTGCCTTCAAAAGGCCTATTAACGCATATTAAAAATACTTAAACTTTAGACCCGTGCAGTTCCGAAACTACTAGTGTTTTACTTATTATTGAGGCACTCTTAGCGACGGCAAACCTTCCTCTTTAAAATGGCTTTTGGTTTTCGTCGATCCGACTTTCCGTTTCGGAGATATCGTAATTTATGTAAAAGGTAATTTTTCTTAATTCGACTATCGCTGTCTTTGTCTAGCGCGTCGGACCTCCTTGTCGCACGTGCGTCGTGCTGACCTACCCTACGAACGTGACTGTCGTGACCTAGTTCCGCGTAGTATTTCCAAGAATTTACTACGCACTGTTTACTATTGACGCGCGCGCGAGTTCATTGATATCAATGAACGCTTCGGTCCCTCGTATCTCTGTAACAAGCCACCGCATCGACTTGAAACTAAAATCGCTATATCTTCGGAACTAATTACGCCATCGGCTTGTTCGACCACGCGTTTTAAAGGGCATTTCATCCTCTATCTAATGATCGTATCACCTACTATAATTTATGCTGTCTTCTATGTTTATTTTCACATTCACTTTGACGTTATACAACCAAAGAAGTTTCAGCAATTCCAATGCTGATAAATTGGATTATAAATTGTCTATTTAATTGAAAATGAACTTAAATTTGTATACAGGGTGCTTGCATAATTAGTATGCTATTTTTTCGTAAATAATTGTTTTTTTCTGGAATTAATTTCGGTATCGACTTGAAAGAAAATTTGCTTTCAAAAGCGTTTTATCTTCTATCCGATGAAAATTACTAATGCACGTTTAGTGAAAAAGTGAAGAAGACCGGTCATGTTAGGAATGGGTATACATGAAGTGAGGGTAGGTTTAGTGTTAAAGCCACGACGTAATTTTCACTCGTCGATTCCAAATAAAATGCACAAACCTGTCGTTGTCACGCGATCTGAGCTCGTCGATGCGCCTTCGGCGTTCCTCTTCCCGCTGCTCCCGGAAACGTTGCGCGGCTAGGGCTTGCTGTCTCAGCTCTTCCAACTTCCGTTGCCGCTCCTCGTTCTGTCTCTCACGGACGAGCTTCGCCCTGTCCACGTCTTTCGCGCTTCCCGACGACTCCCGTCCTGGGAACAACCAAGGAAATCGATTAGCTTCATTCGCCGCACAATCCCATACTGTTTTGCTTGTAACACTGCAAACCGTTAATCGTTCCCTCGGATGGTTCACCGGCACGCGTTTTATCTCTCAACAAATTCGCGAGTCCTCGGAAACCGTGAACCCCTAAATTTATTATTTATATTATCAGGGTGCCCCATTCCAATTGTTAGTATTTACTAAATAATATACAGAGTGATTACACAATATTTAATTGTTCGACTATAGTTCTGTTTGAAGAGGAGATAGTAAAAAATAGTAGAGCTAACGCGTCCTTTTCCTTTTTCCAGAGTGCACCGATGCATTTACAAAGCGCAGTAAAGGTTTTCTTTTTAAAATGAAACTGTCTGAATTCATTTTACATCACGAAAGGTATAAGGTGAGGTCGAAGAAAGCTCAATATTTTACTTGGGAAAAGTCACTTAATCGCACAAAATTTTCCTTCGCGATCTCCGTTTAGAGCTACAGTATGACCCCTGTCACTGTAATCACCCTGTATAATGTTTGCTACCCCATCGTGGATCTTCAGTAAATTATTCCATAATGTTAATGACATGAAATATTAATATAAAAAACATCTTGAAGCCATGTTGAATTATTCAATCAGGATAATTTATGGTAATATTGCCACTGAATCTCGATAATAGGTACATTTATTCGACGTTAATAGTGGACCATGAGCAAAATTTTGTTCGTAGAATAATATATTGAAGATCCGCAACGGAGTGGAAAACGTTGCATGTTATTTAATAAATATTTAAAAATACTTGTCCCAGAAGGTATTGCGCATTAAGAGATCGTAATTTATTAAGCGATAACTGTGAAAAAAAACAGAATTTCAAGCATGACAATAATCTTCTGCCATTATCCTCTAAGCAATTGCATTCCTCTGGAATATCATGCTGGTTCTTTGGATGCCAAACACTTTTTACATTCACGATTAATGCTGTTGTTGCTATTGAATAATTTTTCATACAGAAAGTGCTCCATTACACGGGGAAAGGTGATTAAAAATCTGGATTATACACTGGATAAATTACAGTTTTAATTACAAAATTATAACTCCATTTCTAGCAATGGCGTAAAGGTAACAAAACTTTTGCAATTCATTTTAAAAGTGAACGAAGGGGGTAGTCAAAATACTTTCAAAAAATGTGTTGATGTAAAAATAACAGCGAATGAAAGGGCCAAAATGCGCAACGCTCTCTGGGACCACCCTAATAAATCGGCCAATCCGAGAACTTCTCGACTTTAAACTGTAAAGCTAACTTATTTATCGGCTTTTGTTCTTAATCGACGTGCCCATTGGCGGATGAGAAGAATGACAATGAGTACACTCTTTCTAATGATTCTGCCCATTGTACCGCAGATGCTCCAGACGCATCGTACCCTTCGGAGTCATTCTTCTCGTCTGCCAATAGAAGATCAGTACTGATCGTTAGCTGGGGACGTACAAGTTCCCAGACGGTCTCCCATCCAGGCACTGACGATGGAGTCGGGCAATTTTAGTCCCCGAGCAACGAATAAAAATGTCGGATTCGTTCGTAAATTCGATCCTCGGACGAAGCCTCGGGGAGAAAAGCTAGTTTACGAACGTATCCGGAATTTGTATTCGTTGTTCGCGAACAAAATTTGCCCGATTCCGACGGACGATGCGCAGCTCCAATTTAAATGATCGAACGAGTACCGATGCTTTAAACGCGATAGAGTCGTTAACGTCCGCGAATTCGTCGACAAGCGAATTTTCTACACGAATAAATTGTCGATTTTCTATTTGATACGCTTGTGAACCGTGTACTCTCGAGGGGAAACGAGCGTGAATTAGTCTCGGCATTGCCCTTGAAAAGGTGATACCTTCGTTCTCGTTAGGAAGATCGCCGTCGAGAGAGTCCTCGTCGTAGAGACTTCGGCGTCGCTTCACATCTGTCGAGAAGAAAGCGAGAACATGTGCGTACGCACGTGAGATTCGGTTATTACGAGGGCGCATCTCGCGTAATCGATACACTGCGAGCATGCAGCTGCGGGCACACCACACGTTCACGATGCATCTCGAAAGCTGATGCCACTCTTCGGGTAGACATGCGTCATGCGGTTGTCGCTAGGCAGGCGGGGCACGCCCGCGGAAAAACTGTGTCGCGAAATTCCGTTCGAACCAGACCTGACGCTTCTTTCCGAATTATTCCGAAAGCCACGATTCAAATTCAAATCATAGTCGAATAGTTGCAATCACTGGTTATTTCTACTTACGTTGGGCGTTTGAAAGCGTCGATGTCGATACAATTATTTAAATTAATTTGAACTAACTGTAAGACCACACAGAAACGATATTTCAAGTAGAAATGCCGCGGTATGGTCAGACACACTCGCCAGACCCAAAATCACTGCGTGCCCCACGAATTTTCGAATTCAAATTCATTTAACTCGATACATTTTACTTGAATATTCTAAAACTGGTGTATGAATTTTATTTTATAACGTTTAGAATTGTCTGAGGCCTGGTTCGAGCGCCGAGCGGACACCGTTCGCGGAATCAAATCAATGCAATATTATTGTATTACGCAGCGAACGAAGGGAAGTTTTAAAGTCGACGCTACCGGGAGAATGTTTTTCATAGCGACGATTCGATTACCCGGCGAGTATAATCAATTTTTCAGCGTCGACGGGAATCTTTTTCTTGACCGGTTTCGTTTTATCAGCTGGCGAGAAGCACCCGAGAAATAAATTCCGCCTTCCGTTTCCCGACGCTCTGCTTTCAGCCGCCGTGGAGAAGAAGGCCATCGTTTTTCGCGGTATCTGGAATGCTTCTTTCCCTCGAGGGTTAATGCGATTATTAGAAATAGGGCGAAAGACGCGTGCAACTACGCGAAAAAGGAAAGTATTCGATTTGTAACCCGAAGACTCGATTGCGTCACAGCGACTGGATAGAATATCGAGGACCTCGGAGTATCGGTGTCTCGAATTTCGTTCTCGAAAGAAAATTCAATATTTAATCTTTAGGACGTTCCTCGATGCAGCATAAAAAATTGAATGATTTTCTTGATGGCCCTCTTCAGGAATAATTATGCATAAGGTCTATAAAAAAAAAAAAGAAACAATATAAATATGTATGAAACGAGATTGCGAATGACTTCCTATTTTGCAATACTAATGCTTTATTAACCTACAATCTCCGCTTGTAGATAAACGGTGATTTCAAGATAGCCCTAGAGTCGGACAGAAAACGATATTTCTACACACACATAGGCGCGTGCAACACACACGAGCACACACCAACCACAAACACGTAACGCACACAAAAGCAACGACGAACGGGAGCAACTGAATGCGGTCATTTCCAATTTCGACAGGGGATTACTATTAATACGCACTCGTTACGCGGGGAATTAAATTCCGTGCAAACATCGTGACGAGTTTGACAAAGCACACCGCCTGTTATTTACCACGTTGATTATTACCTGACGAATCGGGAGAAGCCTCGTCACCTCCGATTTGGGCGAACCAGTGCATCGTTTGCTCTGCGGAAGACAAATTTGAAGTTCGTTCCTACAGAATTCTTTGTTCAAACAGAGCACTCCGCCGTCTGCGTCGATTTTGTTGAACGACGAACGCCCGGGCCCTCGATATTACCGTGTTTATTAAATTTCAGAGAGAACTTTGGCCATTTTCGACTATTTACGCGCAATCAAAAACATTTAAACGCGTGGACCAACGTCATTTCTTACGTAATTTTATTCCTCCAAATAATTTCTCTACTCTCGAACGCGGAAATGGCTTCGAGGAAGATTCAAAGTAATTATAAGTTTTTTAAATGATCGATGACCAGCCTTCTCATCGTCACGAATGGCTAAGTTTGCTTAATTGATATTTTCGCTCTGCCAGTTATTTTCTAAACAATGTGCTCACTTTCTAACTGAAAGTGAAGATGCAAACCAGAGATCAGGAGGAACATTAAGTTCTATTTTTGATTAATTTTATTCAAACTAAAAGCTTTTCTTAAGTTTCTCTAATAGGAAGTACTTCCCTACCGAAACTCCAACAAATTGAACTATAAAATAACATTATTCCAATTGGGCAAATTTTAAATTAATTCCTTCCTTCCAACGCGTCGAGTATCGTTAGAAAATACCATTCTTCGAAGCACGTTCGTCTATTTTATCGGTGTAACATAAATGTTAACCGAACAGTGAAGTCGAACCACGAACGTTTAGGTGTGAAAAGACGCAGCCATGTGTGGATTAAAGATTAACTTAGTATTCATCGACCCTGTCGCTTGGCTTTGTATAACTCTACCACAATTTTTTTAGCATTTCATATATGGATATAGAAGCCATCTTCCATAACATCGACGCAAGTAGAAACTGTAAGTAATGGACAGACGCGGCCGCCAAATCGTATTCAGTCGCACGCGTACCGAATCGATTCTCAAGCTCGATTTTCTCGAAAACAAATTTCAGATGCATGCGGATATGTCCTTCCTTCCGACATACTGAATACCATTATAAAATACCTTTCTTCGAAGCATTATACCAGCAAATTTTATTCCACATCTTTGATTTATTTTCGCATACAAAATCCACCGTTCGTTGTGGCTCACCCTGCACATTCAATAACGTTATTTGAATTGACTGTAAAGGTTTTGTATCGCGAGTATGGTACTTTTGAGCCACGTATCAACGAGTCCTCCACTGGCAACAAATGTTTGCACGTATAACTGCCGTTTGATTACTATAACACTAGCTTTGTTGCAGTTGCAAACGAGACCAATTAAACGAAACTCGGTGAATAGTACTCGAAACTGAGACTTCCAATGTATCGATCGTGCGTTTATCCCATTCGCGTGAAACATAACGATATTTGTGCCGTGTATCGAATCAGTTAACATTCCTAAAATTATTGCAAGAGGAACCAGAACTCTAACGTCTTACGCAAGCACATTAAAACCCAAAGTTGGGTCCTTCTCTCGTTAGTACTCGGCGCTTAACACCGTTAACAGTTAGAAATTCGCCAGAACGAGCCTTTCAATTACGACGTACGTACTTGGCGTTCCCGCGGGACCAAACTTTTCGCTACAGATTTCCATCTTCCGAACGCTCGAGGCGCACAGTTCCGGGGAAATATGAATTACACGTATCTACGTGGCAGCTTTAATCTCGTTTTCGAGGGGCGGCGGTTCAGGATACAGACTAGAAGAATGGCGAGGAACAGGCCAGGAAAAATAGACTGGAATTTAAAGGAAGTCCCATACGCTTTTCCGGCGGCTCTTCTACGAACGCGCGCAAAGAATAATGGCGATAGCGCAGATAAGCGAGGGGATTTTCATCGTGAAAGCGACCGAAACGCGGACGAGCTGCAAAAACGAGCGATCGATGCAAAGCCCAGGCGCGGTTACGTTAACGATACAGCCATGCGATTCGCAAACGACTGTCGTTAATTGCGAACCGGCTCGCTTATTTTCGACATTTCCGTCACGCGGAATTCGACGTTGATTCGCTCTCGACGAGCGGAGCAACGCTTTATTCGGGACTTTTCAAACTTGAGTTTACTATTTTCGAGAAGCAGCTGGAAATTAGGCCGAGTGCACGTGGTAGGCTTCTGTACGATTCCAAAAAATTTATTGAAATTGCAGAATTTTTCATTTAAACTACTTACACGAGCCATGTGAAATCTGAAACTGTACACTGGCAACGGGAACTTTAAAATTCTTTCTACATGATGGCTGCAAACATCAACGCGATGCATCGACGATAATTGGTAATTGGAAAACGAATGAACGACGAAGGCAACAATCGTGCTATATAATTACGCGAATAGCAGGCACGGAGTGGATTCGCCAAGAACGCGATCGCGGGCCGATAATCGTCCATGGAAACGCAAATGGAGACTGAAAAGCTTGCGTTATCGCGGCAGTCAGTTATTCCATACGAAGTGATTTAAGTCTCGTGCATTTCGCTCTTCGGTTAACAGGGATATCGGCCTGCTTTTCATTCGTTTCTATCATCGACTTCGGCGTCCATTAAAAATATAAAAATCAATTACACGGTCTTGGATAAAAATGTTTTATAAGACGATCTATTCATAGTCAGGACAAGTGTCACGTGCACCAGTCGCGATATAATTAACGATACTTATTAACCGGGAGCGTGTAGAAGGGTGAAATCGATTCAAAATGGAATGTATGAATATGAATTTGGACTCGGTACAACGCGAAATGAAATTTTCATCCGATCATCGATCGCGTTGAGACCCCTTTATGCCCCGATTAATTGGAATTCGCGCGACTTACTTTCGCGACCTCGACGCGCTTTAAAAAAGGAAAAAAAAAGCATAGAAAACGGGTAGCGCGAGCCAGTTGGGTTCGTTTCCATCGCGCGAAAGGGAAGGGAAGACTGCTACCTGCCGATGTTGTTTCCGGCTGCTGATTGCAAATGTCAGAAGAGAGGAAAAAGTGTGAGAGCAAAAGGGGAGAGACCCGCGGACCGCCTCGTGGCAACCGTTGATGGTAATTGGACGTTTCATTAGCAATGCGGATGTGGAATCGAACGAGGGAGGGAGACGCTAAGCAACGGGGTTGGGCGAGGGACGAGGAAGGGAAACAGGGTGAAAGCGTTTCGACGTTAACGGATATAAAGTTCTGTCGGACGCATTGGAAGGAGAGTTGTCAACGAAACGAACGTTGCAGCCACGTCTGCAAATTAGAAAGAAGGGGGGCGAGGGGGTGGAAAAAAAGAAATGGTATTGGATGCACGCGCGTTAAGCGTGCCACGTAATTAATGCGGACGCTCCACTTTCGGGGGTAGAAAAACAGACGAGCCGATTGGGCGACGGAATCGATACGTTTTCCAACCTAATTTAGAGCCACGAATTCGAAGGACGAGCGAATGAGACCGCGACCCCCTTCAAGATGATTACGAGAGAGGGGGAAAAAATGCTGGAAAAGGGTGCATAAAGAAAGAGGGAGAGAGAAAAAAAAAAGAAGAATTTCCCGGCAAAAAAATCTTTGGACGATGATTTAAATTACAGCGGTCTCGAGCCACAATGGGTCCCGCTTCCCAACGAAAACGGTCGAAAAACGTCGAGAGGCCCTCGGCGGTGGATATACACACGTCGGCTCTGTTAATCTTCCGTCGCCCTGGAAGCGAGGCGCGAAACAATGGAGATCCAGCCTTTTCATCTGGTTCCGTAGGCCGCGTTGGAATTGAAATTTCGCCGCGAAGAAACCCAATTGTCGACCGTGGCCGCTGGGATATCGCGACGGTTCCAGTTATTTCTGAACCCTTATCTCACGGCGAACGTTTCTCGCCTGCAGATTTAGAGCTTCGCGCGAAGGCTTCCGCCGTTTAATAGACGAGGGCCTCCGATCTCCAATTGCGCACTTATTACTCGATCGAGCCAGCTTTCTCTTCGAAGGGGACGCCTCGCTTCGTTACTTCGTCGAGACGATTCCCCAACTTGGCCCAAACTTCCCTTCGGCCGTCCCTGAATGCTGGATCTTCATCCCGCGACGAAATTAAATTCTCTTATCGACGTCGTGCTATCGTGAGCGAGAGAGCATCTCCTCCGAGGAAAGAAAATTCATTATTTCATGCATCGATCGTGCATATTGCAGAAATATTCGCGTGCAGTATGAATTTCTAGAATTGTTATGAATAAAATGTGAAAGAATCGGGCACGAGCGGGGGAAAAGGTGCGGAAAACGTGTTAAAAGGACAAAGGTATCGAACGCGCGATCTTCAACCGAGCGTCAGAAAGAAGTTTTCCTTTCGCGGATAAGAAACGACAAAGAACGCGTTCCCGGTTGAGCGTCCGTACGCGAGCCTATTGTTGTTGCCAATAGGAACGCGCCTGGCTGGATGGTTGCGTTACAATGCGGAACGTAACATTGTATGAAACAACGTGGCCGGGGCGTATCTTGGATCTTCGGAAGGTGGAAAATCCATGCGTGCACACAAAAGACCTTTCCAGTCTTTCTCCGGGCGCAATATCACTCGGGGCAGAATACTTTCACCGAAATTGTTTTCAGCCGCAACAGAGACTCAAATGGGCGTTCTTACGCGAAAAAGGGAAAAATACTCGGGGGCGAATAACGTCCGAAATAAGGCGAATATACGTCGTTGTGGCGGCAAGTCGGCGTGAAATTCCCGGGGAAATATCCGAAACCGGAATGCGTCGTACAGCGACTCGAATCACGACGCCTAGGCGTCCTCTCTTTAGGCCAGCGTGTTTCTATTTCCACGATGTCGAGGTCGCGGCACCGTCTCTCCTAGGTTGCACGTTGAAAAGTCTGTCAGTAGATACAACCGAGGGACACTGTTAATCTTCCAGCGTTAGGAAGTGGGTCGGAAAACAATAGGAATCTGTTCTTGCCATCTACCTTGCCGCGCACCGTTCTTACTGTTTTTCCATCCTCGCGACGCTTGTCGAGTCGACTGCTCTCCACTTCAGCCACCCTTCTTCTTCTTCTTCTTCTTCCATCCCCCAGCTCCTTGAGCTCCTCTTCCACCGTCGTCGGTATTCCCGCTGCTTCTCGAATAATGCATGCCCCACGAGTGGCCAGCCGATTTCCACGAACACGATCGATCACTCGTTATCGGGACACGATCGATCCGCTGTCGCGACTCGTAATTACGTTTCAATATTTCCGCGTGAAGCGACATCGTTGCGTATTGTTCCGATCGAATTTCGAGATCACGTCGATCGTAAGCGCTCAACGTCGCCTCGTGACTACTTTTTTTATTCCTTGCAATCTGGGCAAAGTTAAACCGGTGGAAGGGTCTTTGGCAAATTTAGACGATCCGTAGAATCCGGGTTCATCGAATTATCTTACGCGACACGATGTACATTTTAATGTAGGCACGTTCGAATCTGCCAGCGACGATCGAAATTGTCCTGGATTTTGCATCCCAAAGCCGCCAGTGTTCCACTAATATTTAACGAGGCTCGCGTGTGCAACGATCCTGCGCGACTTTGTTTCCGGTTCCGGCCTCGGGGCTCGATAATTGTCCTTGCGCTTAACGCGCCGCTGATACTTTTTGAACACGCTTCTAATTGCGTTATCGAGGATCTCCCCATTTTGGTTCGTTTACGCTTTCATCGACACCGAAACATTGGCCTTCGTTCTTTTGTACAACTTCATTGAAATTATATTCAAAAATTACACAGCGTTGTATGCTCGACGTTTAAATCGATTTGGCGATAGCACGAACAAACGTACACGTCGAATCAAAAGGATTTTTCCCCACGATTTGTCGTTAAACCGGAACCGAGTAACGCGTACGGATAACATTGTAGGATCTCACGAGGCTCGTCGCGAAACGGATATTTCAGAGCTCACCGATCACCGATCTTTCGTTAACCTTCCGGACAAATGCACCCGTTATTATCAATTTCACCGACGCTTTTCACGGTTGATCGAATCGCCAGCTTTTCCAGCAAGAGGGATCCGACAAGCCAAGCGCGAACGATGGAATTAAAACGTTATTAAATCCACTCGTCGTTTTACGCCGCGCGATGGAATTGTGCTCGTTATCTGTCGCGGGCCAGATGTATTTTCATTTTGGATACGCCTGATCGATGCATTAGATTCACGAATACACAAACGCGTGTAATTTTTCAAGGCTTCGTGTCTAAAAAGTGTATACGAAGCACTAATACAGCCGGAATCACGATTTTAATATAAGTGTTCTTTCGTACAAGTCCTTGCTATTTAAACTATTGTATTTTCTCTCAATGTAATTAAAAAATGCTTCGTTCAAAAGACACTGTATCTGAGAAAATCAATCTTTCACGTATTATATTTTTACGATTATCAAGGTCCAATTTCCCAAACGGGACTATACATTTCTGTCGCCATGACGTCTCTTTAATACCAGACTAGATATAATAACTCCATATCGACTCCATTGGATCGTATTTCGATCAACAAATATTATTTCCAATCAAACGATATCCGTCGGAAGCTCCATTCAGAATTCACGGCCGTTCCGACGCGATTCGGCGATACGATCGATCGTTGATCCTTCTCATCCAGACTGCGACGGAAATCGCCGGGCAAAAATTGCCAAAAATCGTCGAATAATTTGCAGGGCAAGGTCTCGGACTCTCTGCGCGATTTCTTGTTCGTTTTTCCAACGTTCGTTCGCGAAAAGAATCACGGTTTCGCGGTGACCGCTGAACCGTATATATCTCGGCGAAATATTCTCCGTGCTTTGTCTCTCGAATAGGAAATAACGATGGTAAAACTTTACGCCAGTGTCTTTTATATTCGTCAACGAATGGCTGCCTTTGTTCAGCGAATTTACAGCCACTGATCAGCGAGAAAGGATTCCCCTGGCGCGGCGACAGCGTCAACGGAAAACATTTTGCGGACAGCTTTCGCGACAAAAGGGAAACGAAACGATACACCTAACCAATGGCATGCCATACGAGAACCTAAAACATTCGCTCGGCTACTAACCTATTTACGAGCATGCATATAAAGTGCGCCCATCGGTTATACGATGATCTACAACGCGTGCAATCGATTCGATCGGGGAAAGGAAAGCGACATTGCAACGCTACGCGTGCCTGAAAGGAACGTCGAACGAGAGGCTGTGCCATAATTTTCTCTAGAATTACGTGTGTAGCTCGTCGTGCTCGATCTGCTTACCCTTCGTGAGAGAGTGGCGATTGTGTGCAGAACTGGACCTTTGGTTAGTTTCCTCAGAAGCGGCTCCAGCTGCAACAAACAAACGTCTTTGTCAGCTAAGAATTCAATGTTTCTTTAGGGGCTGTCGTTGACAAAGGCGTACAGAGAACTTACGTGCCCAGCAAGGGTCATTAAAACTTGGACTGAATTTTTATAATATTTGAAGTTCTTGCAAAGAATGGGAAAGCTTCCGTTCTTTTGTCTTACTTTATTCACTTTAGTTGTTCGTTCGCTTACTTTTCTAGAAAATTGTCTCTCCCTTACGCTTTGCGCGAGGATCCGACCACGAAACTCAGTCGACGACTACACGCTTCCCGGACGAGTTTACCCCGAGATTACACAGATTCGCACAAGCTCGCTCAAACAGCTACACACAGGTTCTGGCTAGCCGGCAAGGAGTACGCGAGAGCGTCGTTAAACGAGATAAACTGTGAGAAGTAAAGAATTATATCGCTAGCACGAAGCCGTCCGAGGAACCCTGTAACGTATATGTCGTTAATACTGCGTAAAATAAACCGAGATGATCGCTGTTTATGTTGGTTTCAAGAGCCAGGATAAACGACGAAGACGAGGCTTGAGCGTCTGGATCACGTTTAAGCTTTCGTTTGAAGTAGATCAGCGCGCACGAGAATTTTAAACATCCGACAAAGTACAATTGCAAATGATTTTAATTGGGAAATAAATCGATCTGTCACGTTTCTGTCAACGCGAACGATTAAGACTAGCATCGATGCAGGATTTTCGCCTGTCAGGATAAAGAGCCGGGGCCCATTCGCTAGTTTATCGCGAGAACGGGTCGGAAAGTTTCTCGGAAACTAGTTTCTCATTTACGGTTCTCCGCAGACACTCGCGTTTCCTTTTCATCGCGCCAGGTCGCGTGTCTCTAAATACTTTGGAGCACCTAGTGCTCCGCGTTGACCACTCGCGACTATTCATCGAAGTTGGTCACGAAAGACCACCGAGTATGTCAACCTTCGTGCTCGACATTCATCGACTCTGCATCAGTGAAATTGAATAGGATAAAGGAACTCCCGTACGTGGATTTAACGCGTCCACCGAAGCGTCTTAATTTAGGAAACGTTGGAAAATCATTTCAGAATGTATATCGTCATCGTTTAAATTTTTACTGAGCATGTGCTCGGTTTATATTAGCATATTGTCGAAATTTCTACGATAGGAGAGCTTCGCGTTCAGTTAGATATTCTACATTTTAACTTAATGCTCTTAGGAGCCCCAATTCCAGAGAACGCAATAAATGATCCAACTATCTATCTACCCAGAAATTCTACTTCCTAAGTCCTAAGCTTAATTGTACCTTGCATTACCGCTACATAGATATTGTTATTATTTCACGTCGTTAAGCCACGCTGCTCCCAGGCAATAAATTAGAAGATCTGACTGCCGTTTATTACGATAGAAAACTGGAAAAGCCAAAATGAAGTAAAATCGTCTGATAAAAATTCCGCGCAATGGTCCGTTTCGAAAGAAACGTTAAGTAAAATAAGAGAGCCTGCTTTTGCGACCTCTGACGTATAATAACGCGATTTCGGCGGCTAGCTTGTACTCGACAGGTCATTTCGCCAGTAATCGATCCAAAGTTCTCAACTCGTTCGCGCTCCTTGTATAATGCCGCGAAAACGCTTCGTATATTTTCCCCTAGAAACGTCACAGCTGTTAACATCCACGGAGTTCGTTACTCGATTATACAGCTAATAATAAGTTGTCTTTACAAACGCAGTAATTTTATTTAATTCGGAAACAGAGGTTGAAAATTTAAAGTACAATATTGCAGAGAGGAAGAAAATACAGTCTCGCATTAAGGGGAACGTGGCACTACGAGTAAGTAGAATGTGCACATATTTGCTTTACGATGGCTCGCTATAACGTTTGACCCAGTATGACTCTGAAACTCTTCCTTCATGAAACATAAAGCGGTTCACGTTCGAATCAAATCTGATTCTCGAACGTTGTTATTTCAAAAGACCAACTACGAGTATTATTTAAAAATATACAAACACAGAATACGCTAACGATCTCAAGATGCGATCTTAGCGCAACGTGAACCGTGTAACGTTCAATTTGTCAGGCAACAATGGACCCTTTGGGTTTCGAGAGTAATCGAATCGATCGCGAGCTGGGTACGAAACCGTTTCGTCAATGCGTGCACGCGTTGTTCGCAATTGGGACCAAGAATTCCGTCGCGAGAAATTAATTACGTTGCTCGATCATATAGCGGAGCGCGGAGAAGTTATTGTTATCAACAGCGAGCGTTAATTAATTTCCGGTTTCGGTCGTGGCCGCATCTGCGGCCATCGAAACCAGCGTTCCGTAAAACTCCCGTTCCATGATGGAAGCCTGTGGCTCACGGGGCGTAAGTTTCAATAGCAAATCCCTGGTAAATGTCAATAACGGAGGCACGCTCAAACTGCATTGCTCTCGCGACGTCTTGGCGCAGGTGTGCATGCACACGTGAACGCGATGCTGCGGGCAGCAACAATGGTCGAACTTCGACATTTCCAGGGGCCACCTTCTCCTCTGCCATTACAGAGAACCACCCCTCCGTTCGCCAAGTCGATTGCGCATGAGCCGCCGAGCGTGAAGGAAATTGATAACACAGATTCGTCAGGGACGATCGTTAGGTCAATCGAGTAGACTACGATTATTGAAATAGTTCGCTGTTCGAACGGTTCACAGATATTGCAACCCTCCGTATAAAATTCGAATACCCACGCGTTGTCACTATTTCGATGTTATTGTTATATTTGAAGCGTTCTGGTAATCAACTGGGTAGTTACTCGCAAGGTACAGAGGAACCACCGTTTCTCCTAGAGCACACGTGTACCAACGTTTGGGGAATCACCACGATGGAAATCCCTTTGACGATGCCAATTCCTACTCGCCTGTAACAACTCCCCGCGTACTGTTATTAACTTGCCGTACCCTCCCTCAAGAATTCTTGATTACATCAGGAAAAAGCACAACCTACTGTGGGCACGATTTAAGCGTTTAATTGAACGTGCAAACGGCAACAAGACTAGCAACAACTCGGAACGCTTTGGCGGTGCATCGATTCCCAGCTGGGTCACCGTTATATTTATATACACTGTTGAAATTAACGTATCAGTCGAGTTTGAATTTCGTTTATTTGTGCACGGCAACACAGGCAGGAGAATAAAAAAATCTTGTAATTAGAACTTCATCACGCGAAGTTTAATACAACGCTGTTCGTTTCGCTCGCAAAGGACGGTTAACCGATAAAAAAAAATAGAAGAAATACTCGACTCAAAGGGTTGACGCATTTCACGGCGCCCAAGTTTCGAACTATGAGCAACGGCGGTGAATTCCCTATGAAAACCGGAAACTCTTTCCGGTATAAGATGAAGGCGGAGGAATTAACGCCGGTTATTACGAGGGCGTAAATGATTCCGCGCAGAGCAAATTGGACCTCGGAAACTCGGGGCGCGTCGAGGGTGCGATAACGATACAGCAACGAACGCGTTAAATATTAACGTAATGCGGCGCAAGAAACTTCTCAGTGGCGGTAGCTGCGCAAAGTGGTCCAACTAAATACTCCGAAACGCCTGAAAAATCGAATTCCCCCGATCGTGCTGTAGAGACAGAAGCGACCGAAATTTAGTCTGACGTATATTTTATAGAATCCGTCAAGATAGTCGATTATCCGCAACGTGCATTCATTTATCGTGTCTGATAGAATGTTTTTGTCTAAATTGGCTTCGATAAATGTACCCGCGATAGTATCGATACGTTCGAACACACAGTGCAATTAGTGTCGTTCTTCCGCTGCATTAGGAACGATTGGAATGTTGCCAAACGGGAACGCGATGCATTTAGGTGTTAAGTAACTGTTTGATCCGCCAGTAAATTCGTAATACCCATTATTAAGTTACAAAATAAATTCACGGTTACTCGAGTTTCCTGGGCGACCCAAAATCCTGGATCGAGTTCGAATCCGTGGCCGTCTCTTTCGAGCGATCGGGATCCAAAGTTCGTTTCCTGATTCGCGAGTTTCCGCGGCACGGGGGAAAAGATCGCCGGGAGTTCGTGGAAACTGCATTAGGGGAAAAATCGTCCCGTCGAACTTATCCCCTCGTCGGATAAGTTCCCGCGAGTGCTGGTCGCGTATCCTTCGGGAGATCGAGTTCTCCCGGAGCCGCTGTCCCTTCGACTAAGCCCGAGATCCAAGCTATTAAAACGTCGCTATCGAGGATCGTCGTGCCGCGATAATGAAAACCGAGAGGCCGTAATTCCGATGGAGACACAGCCGTAATTTCAATGGAGTAACGATGGACGACGGAGATTGTTATTCGCCAACGACTGAAGTGCCATTACTTTCGTTCCCGAGGATGCACGGTTGCGTGTTTATTTCTGAGAAAAAAACAAGCGCGAGCAATTTCTCAGCGAAGTATCGCTGCTTTTCGACCACCCTTCTGTCGTCTGACTCCGAACAAAAGCCGTCTTTCCTTTTCGGTTTTATTCTTTCCTTCCAAAGACGTTCCTCGAAACGACGTCGTGCCCGTTCGCGCCCGAAATTCGCCGTGGCAACGAATAATAAAACGGCGAACAAAAGGGCTCCGTGGAACGAATCGAACGCACAAAACGGATAAGCACCGTTGAATTTCGTGTGTTTTTAAAGGGTCGTCGATGTCGAAATTCCGCCGCCGCAATTTCGGCATCGATTTTCGCTCGAGGACCAGCGCGAGAATGTAATTAACGACGGAACAATATTGAACAAAATGATCCGTACAAACGATTGTCCGTCGAACACGTCGAAGCGCGTAAATTTGAATTGCGTTTACTCGAAAGATAACCGATCGTGATTGTTGTTCTACGTTTAACGATGCTCTATGGCGAGGGGCGCGAAACTTTTGTCCAGAATCCTGCCCACTTCCCGGGTGGGGGGACGCGATAGCAAAATGTCTTCCAAGTGGAACTCAATCAAATTCGTGCGGGCGTCGAGCAAACTGAAATCGTTTTCGCCCGTCGCGGAACAAAGGGAACAATGTCGTCGA